TATGCATCTTCTGTAAATTTTAATTCAAACATCTTGTAAATGTAAGTTCTTGATTATTGGAATTTAAAATACTAGCCTGTGGATAATGTGTAAATGAGTTTCTTTAACAAAATGCTGAGATGTGGTGAAATATCTTCGTGGTTTGTTCTCTGTTCCTGTTATGGCAGAAGTGTTTGTGACTCTTTATGTAATTTAGTTATGTGATTCAATAAAGTTATAAAAATTAAAGAAAAAAATAGCCCCGCCACTTTCTTATTTTCTAAAACCTTATCATTTTACAATGTAGGTCCCCTATTCCTCCAGGCTGGAGGTCGCACGGCTCGGGTTGTTTACGATGAAAGTCCCACTGTCTGAGGCACCTTTGTTGAAGTATTTATTAAGTGTGTAGTAAGCTGCCTCTCTTTATTATAGGCCTACTACTGTACCTTGTTTGTGAAGGCGAACATTATTAAAGCCATCAGAAATTCTGATATCTGGGAGCAGGGTAGAGCTACTGTACTGTACGCGCGTACTGTAAAAACGTAGTAGAGGTAGGCTAATATTTTCTGGGGCAAACGCTTTTAAAGAATGTTAAACGTATCTACGGGCAGTATTTAATTATTTCGTTACTCTCAAATTTTATCTCTGCGATCGTAAAAACGCCTGAAAAAGTCCGACAAGTTCGAACAGCGCGCCTCGTTAGAGAATCAAAATATAGGTCAAGGTTTGTCCCAAGGTCACCACGCATGCGGGTGTGCAGAAGTGAGCGGCATCCAAGATGGCGTTTTTACAGCGGTGGGTCCTGAAGGGGGTTAACTTTGGAATAAGTAAGTGACAGCAGCATTATTTGTCTTGTAAGAGTCTCTTTAAATAGTTCGATTAACTAAGAATGAAAAAGTATCGCCTTTTACTTGTATATTCAACTGTAATCACTTTGTCAGACGTTGCCATTCTCCAAGGTTCACTCGGCATTTCCCTGACGGTCTGCAGTCACTGGTCAGATAAAACAGTATTTATTCTAGCTCACTTGTCTCCTGGTGTAAGGTGATTTTGGAAAAAATAAATTTTTTATTGAAAAAATATAGTTAAATAGTCTGCTGCCCCCATCTCAATATATCAAGTACTCTTTGACTTTGAAAAGTATGATTACACCAAGGGCAGAGGCTAACCGATTCTCTAATCTCTATCCCCCGAGTCCTTTTGACTAGCCTATTGATAGATATTCGCAAAATGAAGAAACACAAATTATGTAAAGGCTTTTTAGGAGAAATGGTCTCATTGCACTGATTCTTATCACACTCCTCTCTCAGACTCCATTTTGCCCCCTCTTTTTTTTTTGAAATCTTAATAAAGATGCATTTAAATTGACGTGTCTGATAATTGCCACTAAACCCAACCATATAGTGTTAAATAGCATGTTTTTAAAATGAACCACAGGGTAACATTATGTACTGAAAAATTATATTTGAACAGATTTTTTTTGCTTTCTTTCTGTGCTATATTTAACCCTCAGTCATTTTAAATAACTCTCATGGGAATAACTGTGCCATTGTACACACATCAGTAATGTGCCATACATCACTACCCCATTTGGCAGGCTTAATTGACTGGTGGAAGATAAATAGGATAAAATTTTGATACAACTTAAGGCAGTTAAACATGGTGACCAGCTAAGTTGGCATTCCTCCATCCAGTAGTGGTGTCTTTGCAATTCCTTTAGTGATAAATTTGACACATGTGATTCCAGAGACCGTCGACTTTGCCACGCCAAGGCTGCAGACTTTCTGGAAATATGCTAAGGTAGAACTCCAGCCGCCCAGACCCAGTGAACTTTCACAGGTCATCACAGGCTTACAGAAGGGATATGCAAGAATAGACAAGGGCACATGGAGGGAGGTTACTGTTAGAGTAAGTATATAATGCCCCTTCAGTTTTGCTTCTAGTCAGGATTCATAGTATGTAACACACCCCTCCCCTTCATGCATATTATTATTAAAAAGTGTTTTTCCAACTTGTAGTGTGTCACACACACCCCCTCCTCCCCCAATACATAGTAAACAGGTGTTGTTACAACTTGATGACTTTATGACAAAATATAGACATTCAAATGTAGCCCCTTATGAGATGCTGAATTAAAGAGACTCCTTGGTATCTCTCAAAATCTGAATAATGGGCTTAGTAGAGAACATGGCCCCCGCTTGCTCTGACACATTCATCAAGCCTTTAACGCGTCTTGGGCAGTTATCTTCATATTATTATTATTATTTATTTATTTATTTTTATTATTATTTTTTTTTTTGGGGGGGGGGGGGGGGTGTCTGATCCAGCTGGTGCCTGCTAACAAGAGTTAATTCCCCCTGCATATCCTGTCTGCCTTAATGGCCCCAAGACAGTTAGCCATTTTTCCCGTCTACCTTTTTTACCTGATGATGCATGACAAAATTTAGAANTTTTTTTTTTTTTTTTTTTTTTTTTTTTTTTTTTTTTTTTTTTTTTTTTTTTTTTTTTTTTTTTTTTTGTTGGGGGGGGGGGGGGGGGTGTCTGATCCAGCTGGTGCCTGCTAACAAGAGTTAATTCCCCCTGCATATCCTGTCTGCCTTAATGGCCCCAAGACAGTTAGCCATTTTTCACGTCTACCTTATTTACCTGATGATGCATGACAAAATTTAGAAAACACTACCAATGACAACTGGCCCTATAACTTGAAAGCATCACGTATTGTGAATAGCGATATCACATCAAGGCTACATTGTATTATATAGGATGAGTTATGGAATCGAGACACTTGCGCTCGGTTGCAATGCCCGATGCTTTCAAGTTGTGGGCCCAGGTCACTTCTGTGAACAAACTCCAACAGAAAATTCATTTTCATCCATGCTAGAATTTTTCTAAAACTGGGACGTTTTTACTGCCGGTTGATGTATATTTTTTATTTAGATTTCAATTTGACGTTTTTTGAATTTGTGTGGAATTTTGCAGGTACTAAGAAGTGCAGTAAAACAAATAACATGCCTAATATCCTGTAAAAAAGTTCCAAATTTTTTCACTTTAAATTTGTATGTACACTTCAATTCCAATTGAAAATTTTATTAAATTTATTGTTCATATTATTTTGACCAGTGCATAATTTTCCTTGCAGGAAGCTGCCCGTAATGGTTTAGTCGGACTGGAGTTCCTTTTCATCTTCTTTGTCGGAGAACAGATTGGTCGTAGGTCAATTATCGGGTACAACATCCCAGGTCGAAAGTTAAGTCACAGCCCATTTGATCAACCTGGCCACGACTGGTATGATGATGACCATTAACGTCACACAACAGACTTGGACAATATTGCTGTTGGGCAGTTTTCAGTGTGTCTCGGTCTTTTGTCTGACAATCCTAGTACATAGGTAATATTTGCTGTGAAAACTTGTTTCTTGGCTTGTAAGCCAAACTTGGTGATGATGTTGATTTTGGATGTATTGGACAAGATTCAGGAAGGAGGTGAAGCATTGAGCAGAAGAAGAAATGTGGAAAATAACAGACAAATGTTTGCGATACATCAAATCTGGGTTAACTATTAAATACAACTGTTTGTGAAAAATCGTATTGGTGTACTTGTTTATTTTCTCATTTTTTTCCCCCCTTGATGCACAAAATCAATTTATTTGTGTAACATTAAGCAGGGATGATATTTTTCCAACTACCAACAGATTTCCAAATTTTTGAGAGCCAAATATCATTGGTTTAGGCAGCCCGCTGGACCCCATGCCATGTTTTCAACTTTTTCACTAAATGGCAGTCTCCCTGATTAAAGCAACTTTCAGCAATTTAAACATGTCACAGTTGAAAAAAATATATCATTCTTTTAACTTAATTTTAAAAAATATATTTATGAGGGCAGTGACTCCCTTTACTTTTTAACCTGCTGTAAAGATTTGCAGGATCAACAAAATACTTTTACTACTCTCATAGACTGCATGCTTCCTTGAATCTCTCAGACACCTGTACTTCTAGAGTTAGTTATTTTTAAAGTATCAATTAAAATGTCAATCACAGGGATGAGACAGTTCTCACTGAGAAAGTAGGAAAATTGGCCAGGGATCCAGGGTATACGATTCTCAAGAATGACACAAAAAAAGACAGAATTCCAACAGAAGTTGGAAAAGTCTCATCAGTGCAATCAACAATATCAACCTCTAACTGGTTCCTTTTAGGGAAAGTGGATTATTAATATAATTATCCATTTTACTCTCTTCATTAACATTAATGTTAATTTTCAAAGCTATAAAAAAGCAGTGGAATTACATATGGTACAGAATATCAAAACTGCTAATTGACCAGAAAAACCTGCTGAAGATGAAAAAAAATCTGAGATTAAAACCGAATGGGGCATACAGGGCTTTTAAGTCTATACAACATGCCCCCAGTTTCAGGAATTACTAGCAACTAACATTAACACCAGCTTGCCTCTGCTGCTTTCGTCACCTGACAAGGTTAGCTAAAAAATGGGGGTTAGTTTACACAAGGAGTGACAGGCTCCTTGGTTTACACTAACCTTGTATATGAATAATGTCATTAAATTTTTTCAAAAATATATTTGGCATGTTTTTGAAAGCATTACAGCTGGGAACAAATAAGAGGGCAATGAAAGAATAATAAAAGAACTAAAAAAAACAGACAAAATTATCAGTGGAAACTTCATCTTAATTTGAATGGATACATGTACCTGAAATTCATCTTCAACTTTGCATTCTACGCAAAAAGTTACAACCCTTATCTACATTACATCTGTAAATACTGCTTTTAAATAAACAAAATGACATTAATTTTCTTCTATTTGACGTAAGCAAATGGTCAGTTCATCATGAGAGAGCTCTATTCCCGCCCCCTGCCTGGCTTACTGCTATTTTATTGAGGAGATCCTAGCACGCAAATCCATGCGTTAGCACTCCTATTGAAGATTCTGATATGTAGTGTCTGTGCTTACAGTACATATCAGAATCTTCAATATAGGAGTGCTAACGCATGAATTTTCGTGCTAAGGAGATCCCAGTTTCCACGGCACCAGTGATGCCTTTGACACCAGTGTCTTTGACACTGTGATCACTATAAATAAGGTTTTCATGAGACGTTCACCACTTGACTTTTGGTGTATTATTCAGACTAAAAATCAACTGAAGTTTTCAGTATTTCATCCAACAATCCACTCGTCCTGCAGCTAACAAGCGCTCGATCACACTAGCTCCTGTAGAAATTGACCTATTTCTGAAATAGAGGCTCCGGAGATATTTTGCGTAAACAAAATGGCGGACCAGCTGGTTGCAAGCAGGAAAAATGTTGCGCCAGTTCGGGTGGGTTACTATGAGATGGAGAGAACGATCGGGAAAGGGAACTTTGCAGTCGTCAAGCTGGCCAATCATCTCATTACCAAATCCAAGGTAAGCTCCCAGTTGGATCTAGGGCATACAGAAGCACACCCATAGGCCCACATGTAATTTCATTTGAGTTGACGATTCGGTTTCAGTACTGTCTTCAGAATCAGACTCAGTCTCTCGGTGTCTGGGCCGTATATTTTGTTATGGTTATAGTGGTGAGAAGATAATTCAATGGTCATTTGATCGCCACTTAAGAACGTTGCACACGTATTCAAGGTGCAATGATATCGGAGCCGCATTTGTCGCATACTTCGTTCATTTCTGACACTTGACACGAGCGTGAGTTTGTTCCAATAAGGTCACCAAGGGATGCATATTTAACTGGAGTGGTGCTCATGTGTGGTGCACTACACTATATTAACTATGTCGGCCCAAAGTTTTTTAAACGTAAATTCTGTATGCATTTTGATCATTAAATCGAGATCAGCTTGAATTTGAAAAAAGTATAGTGCTATGTGTCCCCAGTGTCAGTGTTTTAATTCATTCTCACTCCTGGTCTTGTAAATGTTTTAGTCAAGAAGAGGCCAAGTTCTGCAAACATGTCTGTTAAATTTCTTAATCATATATGTAGACAAAAATTTACTACAGAGCTGCACTTGCCTCGGGAGCAGTCCTAGGAGGCAGCAAAATACACAGTGTATGGATTGAGAGCAGTTCATTGGCTAAGGAAGAAAATTTTCAGTGTACTAGTATTGTTTTTTTCTTAATAAAAAACTTCTTTCCTGTACTTTCATGTCATTTTAAACTTGCATATATATTTAAAACCTAAATATATTATTAATTTTCATTGTTTTGTGAAGGTTTCATGTGATACTGGCAGGGCTTGACAATAACTGTTTTGAGAAACTTGTCGGTGGGCAAGCAAGTCTGAAAATCTAGTTGCCTCACTCCAAAACCTACTTGTCCCACTAATTATTTTAAATACTGTGTGGGAGAGGGATGAAACAGAATCTTAATAGCCCCACTCAAAAATTACATGTTCAAATGGCGAGTGCTTGTTCTTATATGTTAAGGCCAAAAGAACTGTCTCTGTATTGGGGAAACTGCATCTTTTCAAGGACTATATGATGGCGATATGGATTGTTGCTTGCCAACCCCTAAAGTTAGCCAAATGCAAACAGCAATCTCTGTAAGGCTAATAGATAATTATATTTGCCACATCACACAATATTATATTGTACATTTGTAAGTCAATTTTATTGCCAACTTTCATACTCCAACATGCCTAAAATAGAATACTAGTATATGAGGCACATGATATTGAACAAATTTTACCCTTTTTACTTTTCACAAATTTTGCAATAATGGAATATCTGTGTATTTTTAAGATTAAATAAGTAAGCAAACTGGTGTCCTAGCTTGCTGGAGAACACCCTCGTATCAGTATCTAGTTGAAGGATAGAGGGTTGTTCATATAGAGTAATGGAGTGAGATAGATAGGGTGAAGGTAGAGCATTGTGGAGAACACTGAAATATCAATAGACATAAAATCCACAAAAAAAGGTCAGTGGGAAACTTTTTGATCAGATTTACTTGATTCTGTGGAGAATTTAACTTAGACGGTATATATATGCAAGTGAAAGTGATCTGTTAGCAAGTCACTTCATTTGTAGACAAGTATGACTTAAATTGTTGTTCCCCGACTGCAGAAATCACTTGCATTGTGTAAGCAAGTAACACCAGTAGGTATGTCAGACCCTGCCTGGTATTACACTAGAAGCCTGTTAAAAAAGATTTTATTTACAACTCTTTTCCTTGCCTACTGATACAGATGTACCTTTTTCTTCTTCATTACGTATATGTATTTCCCATTCATGTTTTCAGTTTTGTTTTACTAAACTCAGATTATTCCATTATAGGTCACTGTAATTATAACATCTATAGAACTATAAATTTGTTTCATGTTTATATGACAATTGTGCTAATTTACTTTTGAAATAAAACAGTTGGCACATTTTTTCACCAATATATTTTGATCAGAGGAACAGTCCTTTGTACCAGCTATGTCAGGCAATATTCAAAAATTTAAAACCAAAACTAAAAAAAAAAAGACATCTGTTTAGCTCAGCTGGGAGTTGAAATTGATATCGTATTGTTACAATAAAAGGAAAAAAGAAGTACTAGTACTAATAATTAGGTAGTGAAATATGAGTAAGATTTTGGAAAAGCATTCTGAATAATTTCCTCAAAAGCATATCACTTTAAACAGTAATTTCCTGAGAACATTACGTGATAAAACCTGTGATCCTTTCCTGTATCTGCAACCCACGGTACTTATATCATAATGGAGTTAGGCTTGGGTATTGCTCAGTTTTACATACATATGAGTAAATGACACACAGTACATAGTGCAGTTGTCCTTTTCACCTATTTGTGTTGTGTGAAAAATTATGAGAACTCAGAAGAAACCTCACAGGGCAATTCTTGGAAGCACGACATTCTGAGAAACGTGTAGATGTCTGCTTGTGAAAAAAAGGGTGTTTGGTGTAAATATTGAGAGAAGTAAGATGGGTAAAAAAAAATAATTATGAGCTCTAAGATGTTATATAGTTGTTGATCTTTTCAAAGCTATGTAACTGTCCATGAAATTTATTTTAGTTGTTGATAATAAAACCTATGACTTTTCAGAATACAACAGTATCAAAATATCTTTAAAAAATTTGTGGTAATTTTCATAGTTTTTTCAACTAATGTAAAAATATTTGTTCCCAAAGATATATTGATATTTCTTTTGATGTCTTTGTCCAATGATTTTTCTGTATTGCTAATGAGACAAATATGTAGACATATTTTACTTGGATATATTCTGAATCATTTGCAGGTTGCCATCAAAATCATTGACAAAACACAGCTGGATGAAGAAAACCTCAGGAAGATATTCAGGGAGATTCAGATTATGAAACTTCTCTGTCATCCAAATATTGTTAGGTTGTACCAGGTAAAATTGATTTAATTAATTGATAATTTTTTAAAAGATAATATATATGCATTGAGGCTGGCAAATCACAATTTAGCCAGATCACAAGAAATTATTTTTATTAATAAGTACATTTATTCTAGTCAAAAAGACTTAATGTGTCAATTAGATATTTTTTAATCATCCGTTAAACCACCAGGTTTGTCAGATTTGCGAAGATTTAGCTGCATGTTTTCTTGATTTAGAATAATAAGTATTAGATGAAAAGAGGAAAAAAGAAGTAAGTGTAATGTAATTTTGACTTGTTTGTTTTTATCATAAAACAGAGAAAGAAATTAGCCTGTCATATATTTTATTGTACATAATAAAACCATGCTATTGAGCACAGCACAGCATTTGCAATAAAATTGTTCTCTTATTTGCAAGGCAATAAGATGCTGTTTATTTGTATGACAGGTATTCCGTAGGCATTTTGTTTCCATTCACAACAAACAGTAATCGTACAATATCAAACACCGGTGCAGTACTGCTGCACATGTGTGACATTTTCATCTGGTAAAAGCCTAAGCTTCATCTCCTCCTGATAGGAATCAAAAGCCCACGTGTGAACCCAAATTCTAGTAGTAACCGAGTACATGGTTTTGCCTCACAGTCAGACCAAAGAGGCAGTGAGACACAGACGTTGCCTGTCACTTTGGTTTAATACTTGCCTCACAAAAGGCAATAGGACACTGACACTGTCAAGCGTTCTGGTTTGATAAATTTGCCTCAAGTGCTCATTCAGCAATCAGTATTTAAGATACTGTTTGATATGGCCTCTCACCTGGGGTTGACATTTGCCTCATCAAATTATGACGCATCAAAGAGAGAGAGACTGCTTGATGTTGCCGGTCAGGTTTTTTATATTTGCCTCACCAAATTATGCAATAGTAAGACATGCTGACATCTAAAAAAAAACTACTAGTCAAAGATTTTTTTTTTTTAAATGAGACATTTGGAAATGATCAGTGCTCTATTAGAGGACATACTCAATTTTTAGTCTGTTTTTTATGCTGTAGGATTACAAAGCATAATTGTATCTGAAGACACTGCAAGGATTTTTCTAGGAAATTATATTTCCAGGAATTCGATCAGGTGTCTTACAGCAACCTTGGAAATTTGAAACGTGTAACAAGCTGCTGACAAGGTCTTCTTAGAATCTGTTTTGTGGAGTGTCAGAGAAGATAGTTAATCAGCATTTCAAATTAACCTTTTTGCTTAGAAAACCATGTGTCATTAATGTTTGTTATTGTAGGTTATGGAGACGCCAAGGATGCTTTATCTAGTCATGGAATATGCAAGTGGAGGGGAAATCTTTGGTATGTAGAGTTACAGCAAAAAATTATATTAATTCCATTAGCTAATATACTTCTTTTCATTTAAGAATGACAACCTAAAGGTTGAAATTATACATCCACACAAGAATGTCTTACCAAGAATGTCAGAATCAGTTTGGCAAAATTTGGCCCTAAAGTTGATATATTCTTCTTCTTTTTTTTGTACCTGTAAACCCCTGAAGGCCTTTATCTTTCCGTAGAAATGTGCACAAGCAAGATTTCCATGTGGTTTTCAACACAAATCATCTTTAAAAATTCCCATTTTTTATGCTCTTATCAAGTTGATAGCAATCTGTTGTTTGGAGCATAGTATATATATATATATATATATATATATATATATATATATATATATATATATATATATATATATATATATATATGAGTGAGTCAGAAAAATTATATTGTTTTTAAACTTTTTTAAAAATTAATGATACATGTATTTATTATTATTATCCCTCACATTTAGATCACCTGGTAGCACATGGAAGAATGAATGAGAAAGATGCCAGGAAAAGATTCAAGCAAATAGTAGCTGCGGTGGCTTACTGCCACAAGCATCACGTGGTGCACAGAGATCTTAAGGCTGAAAACTTACTCCTAGATGCTAATCTCAATATTAAGATTGCAGGTCAGTTCTTGTGTAATCTCTGCCTTTTATTATTTTCTGAAGGTACACAGTAATGATAGTACGTAGTTAAAAGTTGGTGGTAATAATGCAGTTTTAATGTATTATTTAACCAAAATCAAAATTGCCAAAATGGACAAAAAAAAAAAAAAACTATTTTGTGTACTGTCATTGTTATTTTCTGCTTTAATTATTTTTCACATGTTATGATTAATAAGATATAAAATTAACTGTTTCACCTAAAACACATCGAAAAAAAAATATTTTTAAGTGATCAATTTTCTGCCTTGCATTGAAAACATTCTGAAAAGGTGTGTTTACTTGGTTTCCAAGAAAAGTTGATCAATCGTAAGAAAGTAGAATATTTTTGCGTACACGTAACATAAGCAGCCGTTACCTGTGTCTCATTTTCTTATACCAGGGTATATGTTGCTTCAGTTTCATGGCATGTTTTTGTTCTCAAAGTGATATCAGTAGTAACTTGCATTTTCAAGAATCTTCCTTTTTCCATTGATTATTGCTAAGTAGTCTTGTAAATAAAGTTACATTGCAATGCATCTTTCATCAGGCAACTTTTGTGGTCTCCATTTTGACTGTATCTAAGTAGTATTTAATTCCTCCATGCAACAGTCTCTTATATCAATCTCTTATGGGAGAATAAAAAAAAATGATTTATCAGTTATTGTAATTTTCTTTGTAGACTTTGGTTTTAGCAATCATTTCCAAGCAGGTGCCCTTCTGAAGACTTGTTGTGGTAGTCCCCCTTATGCCGCCCCAGAATTATTTGAAGGCAAAGAATATAATGCTCCAAAAGTAGATATATGGGTAAGCATAGCCAATACACTGTTGATTAAAAAAAAGCTATTGAAATTACCCTCAAAGGTGTGAAAGTTGAATTATGGAAATTCACATTACAAAAAGCTAATACTGGTTTTAATTAGTTATGAGGTTAAAAATATTGGTTGGTAAATGATCAAATATGTATTGTTAAAATCATGTAGAGGGGAAGTCGAGTTCATGGAAGGTAAACTTGTAACGCTTTTTTGATCTGTCAGTATTTCTGGTAAATGGTACTCTGTGTTGAATGTGAAGGGTTTACTTGAATTAAAAATAGACACTGTTTTAAATTCAAAAACAGTATTCTTTGTTTTATTTTATTATTATTTTTTTTGTTTTGTTTTATCATCTTCAATTAATTTTTAATTTTATTTATTTATTTTATTTTTACTGTATTGCAACCATATCAATTGTACTTGCACAAACTTAGCAAAAACTTTCTTCTAAGTGGCAACATTTTCTAATTATCAGAGTCTGGGTGTGGTCCTCTACGTGTTAGTGTGTGGGGCTTTGCCCTTTGACGGGAGCACACTGCAAAGTTTACGGGCACGGGTCCTGGCCGGCCAATTTCGTATTCCCTTCTTCATGTCCACAGGTATAGTAGTCTACTAGAACTGTGAGCACTTGTTTTTCTTTTTGATAATTTTATGTGAGTTGTATTTTAAATACAAGTGATGGATAATGTAATATAATGAGGTCACTTGATATGATGAAGCTGATTTAGGAGCAGGTGTCTTATGTTTTAAATTTGGAGGAGTTCTTCCTTTTTGTACATATAAGGGGGCCTAGAAAGTTAAAGGTATCCTGATTTTGCACCAAATCAAATTATTCTTTTAAAAAAAAGCAATTTTATCCAGCATTGTTACTAGACCTGTTCCTGCATTTGGATTCTGTGTTTCATACCATTTCTAATTTAATATTTCAGTTCTAAATGTCTGGTTAGACATTTAGAAGGCCGCAGTCTTCTTGTAAATTATAAACGTAAATATCAACATCAGGTTCTTTTAATTGTGGTATTTTATCATTTTAATGTGGGAATTGGAAAAGATGAGCATTTTTTTGCAGGATTTGTAGACAAGTAAAATAAGACTTTGCAAGCTATATAATACATATTATTTGCATGTGATTATGCATTTCCATGTTTTAGAATGTGAGCATCTGATCAGAGGGATGCTGAGAGTAGATGCAAATAAAAGGTATAACATGTCGCAAATCATGGAGCACAAGTGGATGAAGCTTGGTGACGAGGATGTCATCTTTGATGCGACGCGGAAAGATTACATGTGCGAAGACGAGGGCCTAGAGGATGAAGGTCTCAACGAACAAGTCCTGCAGCAAATGGAGAGTTTACATATAAGTAGAGAAACAGTATTACAGGTGAGGATGGAGTTCATGCCATACTGTAAATATTGATGTGATGAATCTTGCAGCATTTAATATTATAATTATGTGTATAGAGATGAAAAACTGGTTTGTGGTGATTTTTAAGTGTTATATATATTGTATTGTATTGTATTGTATTGTATTGTATTGTATTATATTATATTATATTATATTATATTATATTATATTATATTGCCAGTTCTCAGTTTTTGAGTATATGTCTATTGTGCACTGCCTAGCTTTTATGTGGTGTAAGAGTTTGATATTGAGCTGATGTTTAAAAAATGACTATTTATGGCATTGCAGTCAGTCCAAGGCAAGTGCTATGACCATAACAGTGCAATCTACCACTTACTTCATGACAAACTAAAACGCCACCACAACAAAGCCAGCAACTCACTGGTGCCTGACAGCCTGCCTATTGCCACGCGGACAGAAAGGCGCTCTAGTATTACTACAGGAGTAGGTAAGTAAAAAAAAATCTAAATATTCACTCTATAGTTTTGTCTTATCGGTTGAACATGATAATTATGATATTAAGTAATTAACTCTTTGAATTTGTCTTCCAGTGGAGCGTGTTGAAGTCCCTGTGGAAAATGACAAAAATACCAATACATCAGTATCGCCCCACATCAGTCCGGTCCCGCAGCAAATGCCTTTCTTTGGACAGAATCCAGCTTGTTTGCCGTTGGTAGGTTTATTTATTTATTTATATATTTATTTATTTATTATTTTTGCACCTGTGAACAGTTGGATTGCACAGTAAAATAAAAGATTAAAAGCTGCAAGAAAGAAATACTAAATAATGCATGAAGTATGTAAAAGTTAAATTGAAAGGTGGTGGTTAAAAGTAATCAGGTAATTAAATTGTGTTGTGACTAGTAAAAGGGCTTTAACAAGATATATCTCAACTAAATTTTAGTTTTCAACCAAACATTCTCCTTTTGTCATCTATTTTGCTCTTAGCATAAAATGTCTTTATGATGGAAACTGGTATTATGCATACCATTTAGCTGCCTCATTTTTCCCTTTGACCAGCAGTATGATTGTTAATCAAAAGCTTATGGCTCATGAGTGATTTGTTTAAAAAGAAAGAAGAAAGAGAAAACTTAGTTAAACATTATCTGAAGCAAGCCACCCCCTGTGTTTTCAGTCGGATTCTGACAGTGATGGAGAAGAACCGTCCCCTGAGGCACTGGCACGCTACCTAGCCATGCGGCGCCACACAGTGGGTGTAGGGGACCCGCGTCACGAGCCACCAGAAGACATGCGTGTGCGCCTTGCTCATCATCAGCCAATCACAGCATTACCACAGCTGCCCACCTTTACGCCGACTAGTTTCCTGCCTCACATCAACCTGCCGCAAAACTTGCCACCAGTACAGAATTTCTCACCACAGAACTTTATGGAGAAGGATCCCCATCTACTGAAACCCCCTTCTGTTCTCAGTGGAGGTAGGCAGGATGTTGTTGTGACATCATAATCAACAGTCTCAATTGTTGTGACATCATATAACTCTCTCCCTCATTGTGACATCATCAGCAGTGGCATTTGTTGTGACTTACTACTGTCTTCAGCATTGTGACATCATTCACAAAGTCTCACTTTTTGAGAATGATACAAACTGTCAACTTCTGTGACATGTAACTCCACTATTACTACTTGTGACATCATAAAAGTCTGTATCTCATTTTGATATATAATGACATCATAAAACAACTTCCAACTTACCCTGAAAAGCTAAATCAGTTTATCTTTGACATTATTCAACACATTCTTAATTGTTGTTATATATATTAATTATTTTTCTTATAATTGCTATAGCTATATCCATACAAAGATTGCATTCAGCAAGAGTCCACCTGGAGTTAGTTCAAACTGCTTAGTATGATAGTTTCATTGTGAAGACACCCTCAGGGTATTTTTTTCTGTTTTAACAGTATCAATACTTGTCATTATCAATATTTTTGTTATTCTCGTCCTAGGAATGCCAGCACACTGGGGAAGAAGGGCCTCGGACGGTGGGGCAAATATCCAGCTGTTCTCACAGTATTTCCAGCAGCAGCAGGTCTATGGAGGAAGAGGAAGTCAAACCCAACAGACTGGGAGCCATGAAGGAGTGGGGATGGTAAGTCATGTGGTTTTAATACACGACTGCCACTGCCAATTTGAATATCTAGGTAACAGCAAGGGAGTTGAACTCTCAGGATCTGCAGCAGGCTGATTTTGGTTTGTATGGAAAGGCTTGCCAAACCTGGGCATAAGCAAACTTAGCACCTGTGCTGTATTTTATGGGCACATTTGTGATGAAAAAGCCTAGAAATGTACTTATTCTGTTTTACATATTTTTTCAAATGCTCAGGTTAAAAGAGGCAGAATATCAGATTTATCATTGTACTCGATGTACCTGCTTTTGGGGAGTTTAACCCCTTGAACACTGCTTAGTTTAGTTTAGGGGTAGCTCGGGGGTGGTTGGGGGGGGGGGGGGAGATGGCGGCATGGACTTTTCCCTTACCTCTCTTTTTCTCAGACATATTTTGTAAGGTCTTATAAGGTTTTATAAGTTTCTCGCAGTTGTCTGATAACAGACTCAATATTTTCAGCTGTCTCCGGGTCACACGCTGCCGTCGCCATCCATACAGACACCTGTCACACTGGAGGAAGGTCAGACGTCTGACAATGAGCCTGACGATGAGGATGTTTCTAGGTAAAAAGCCAAAATTAACATTCATTTTACGATTGAAAAAGCAAAGGAATTTTTATTTTGAAGCAGGTGAAGTTTACATAAATATTTATTCATTTATGTAATTCTTGAAATCAGAGGATGAAAGATGAAAATCATTTAAGATGAAATCAAAGGGAAAAGGATGAATAAAAAAAATTATTGTGCCTTTGAAATAAATTGTTTTATAATTTTGAAATGTATTTTCTTATTAGTTTTAAAGTGTCTTTATTGTGTAATAATCATTGGTAAATTATGGATGTATTTACTCATATTTGGCTCCTTTTTTCCTTGCAGGTATCTTCAAACGAGGGGCAAGCGCCACACGCTGGCCATGGCGAGTGCCGTACATGAAGTCCCTGAGGAGCTGCAGGAGCAGCTGGCTCTTCATCCAATCAGAGGGCGGCGTGGAGGCATGCTGACCCCTGGTGAGAGATTACCCAGTAAGTCTGTGGTTTTAAGTTGTCGTCTGCTCTTTGTCTGCGACCACTGTGCTCTTGACCCACGCTATATTTTTCTTCCTTAATTTATTTCAGACAGGTGTTTTATCTGTCCTCTTCAACATTTTAAATTTTTTAAGGGTAGATCAATGCATTTTAATCAATTTTTTCACTTTTTCTCCTAAAAGAAGTTATTTTTAATAAGGCGAAGAAAACAAATATGCTAACATGCATGTGGAATTCTCTGTAAAAATGCTTTGAGATCCTTTAGAAACGTTATTTTACCAACTGCTTTTTTTGTTCACAGGTCGGGACTCTTTCAAAGATGTGAATTCTCTCCATCTGCCAAATGAGCGTTTCTCCCCGGTGCGGCGTGCCAGTGATGGGCTAGCCAGTATACATAAGTACCAAGTCCACCTTGAGAACCTGTACAAACAGACTCTCCGGGAGCAACAGAGGTCACAAAACAGTCTGAAACAGTTGCAGCAAGAACATCAGAAATTACAGGTAAAAGTTTCGAAAAAGTATCATGCAGGTAGTATTACAATAGCAACAGTAATAATAATTTTAACAATTGTAATATTAATAATATTAATAATAATAATAATAATAGAAGTTATGATAATAATGGAAAATCACAAAAAATTGATTAAGTAAATTAAGTTGAAAAATTATAGTTTTAAGTTATAAAATATTCATCGAGATTGGTGTCCACCTGAAATAAAAGACTTCAGGGAAAAAATACTGGTAATAGGTGTCGTTTATTTTAATTATTTGAAACCTTGATATTGCAAAAATGGTGATAAAATGAGTAAGGATGTCATAACAAAACTGGGAAATTTTGACAAGATATATTTACCAAATGTTTATCATTTGATTAGAAAACAGTGGGCAACACTTCTCCGGTGAACCAGGCTGAGCTTCAGCAACAACACGCTCTCCACCGACTACAACAACAACAACAACATCAACATCATCAACAACCGCAACAGAGCATGCATACCACATCTCCAGAAAGTCAGGTAGAACTGCAACAACTACACAGATTACAGCAGCAACAACGTGGCGTGCATCCCTCTCCGCCCCCACCGCCGCTAACACCTACAGGCCATGACATGCAGGCGGACGTCCAGGCAGCAAGTTTATACATGCAGCGCCTGCACCTCCAGCAGTATCAAACAGGTAGTCCACCGCCAGTTCCCTCACCGAGCTTTCATTTGATGGATCGCAATAGATCCAGTCCACCTGCCTATAATTCTCTTCATCATAAAACTGAAAATACCCCACAATCTTTCCATATGGTTTCTCCCCAACCACAACAACGAACAAGCCCACCACCAAAGAACTTACAGATGATCAAAGAAGACACCGACGCTAATGAGGAAGGGAACAATGGAGAGGTTGAGATGGAAGAAGAGCAGACCCAAGTGCTACAGCGACGACGGCAAAATTTTTCTCTCAATCCACAAATCAGTATAACGGACACTTTGGGGCATGTGACTCCCGTGGTGTCGGGCCTCAGTGACGAGACCAGTGGCACAGATGACTCAAGTGGCATGCCAGCAAGTCATGTAATATCATCACCAGCTTACACCACAGAGAGCCAGTATAGAAACTCTGTGGGGGGCCGCCCTGTGGGGGGTCCTGGGTACTCCATGATGACCACGTATCCTGGTATGAACTTGACGTCAGTCTCTCCGACCTCTGAACCTACTCCGTCCTATCATGATTACACCGCCTCCCCTCTCAACTCCACAATGCCCATGATGGGCCTGTTTAATGTGAACCATAACTACCATGCTGGCTTGGCGAGGGGAGGGGGAGAGGGTGGTGAACCAAGGTCACCCAGTATGGGTGAAGTCAGTCCACGATCACCAAGTCACAGTGGTGTTGGCGGTGGAGGTGTCCGCCATCACCGGCGGTACCACACCGTTCAGAACACCAGAGATGCACTGATACAGGCCCAGAGAATCCATCAACAACAACAGCAACAGCAACATCAGCAGCAACATCACATTCCACCTTACATGCAACTCACATCCCTCTTTGACCCAAATGCCTCGTCAAATATCCACAGCCTCTCCAGTAGCACAGGGGAGCTCACGCTTTCACAGAACTTTCTCAAACTCGGCTCGCCTAGCGAGCTCCCAGCATCCACCAGTGTCGAGGGAATGAATCTTCGTAACAGTCTGAGCGACATGTCACAGGACTTCAAGTTCGCTTTAGCAATGAATTTAACCTCCAAAAAAGCATTAAGTGAGATTTTATCGGAAGTGAAAAGGACACTGGATACGAAGGGGGCTGAAATTGCATATCAGTTCTCAGACAATTTATTTCAACTCAAAAACTGTGATGTTCAGATGGAGATGGAGGTGTGCTGCAGTGGCGCCATCAATGGGCTGCGATTTCGCAAAATTTCAGGCGACCAATGGCAGTACAAGAAACTGTGCAACGAGCTATTAGCAGGCATGGATCTTTGAGATCCCCTGTAGCTGTCCATTTTCTTTCTTTTTTTGCCTCATGCCATGTGAAGCGTTTTATATATATATCAATTTATATATATAAAAATATATATATACAAGTCATTGTAACTCATTATCATCATGTTATGCTATCTAAATGGTCACCATGTGGTACACTTACATTGCCATTAATGTACTCCTTTGGTCCCCATATGGTATTGATAATTGTGGCACACCTTGTACAACATACCGTGGTACTTTTTATTGTACAATTGCAGTATTCATATTCTGTCTATTTAATGTGGTACGTATATTGTACAAGTATGGTATTAATATTGTAATTGCCTAGTTATCGGAATAGTGTTGACCCGGTATGAATGTAATATTTAAGTTATGCAGCCTTACTATGGTTGTAGATGTAGAAATTGTACTTTTGGTTTTCGTATGTCACAGATGAGTTACCAATTTTGGTATTCTGAGAAGGTATATTAAATTATTCAGCAAATCTCATCAACTGATAGCAAACTGTTGTTATAGATGGTTTGGATGATATAAAGGACTGATAACATGATTTTTGTCACCTTAAAATGAAAAAATTATAGTATCAAAAATGTTTGAGGAAAAAAATAGTTTTGGTGGAAAAAGATCTTTGTAACTTTACTTTTTGGTAAAAAAGGAGAGTGTGAAAAAGTTCGTGCATAATTTTGCATTTAATGTGCAGATAAGTAAGCCACCTCATTTATGAGGGCAGACGACACTGGCCATCTATAGATGGCAGTGCAAGTCTGTTCCAAAATGAGGCCAAGATGACCTATTTTTAATTTTTACATATTTTTGCATTGTCTGCTGTTTGTTTTTCTTTTATCCATGTCTTAATGAAACAGCTGCGGGTAGTCCTGGACATCAACAGCAATGTATTATACATAATATTAGTATTTAAGACTCACTTTCGTATATTATAATATTTTGCACTGCCATCATTTTTGCATTAGATCACCCTCAACACCTATTATTCTAACTGGCTGTATGTGTTGTCTGTTGTATTCATTTATTTTCAGTAACTATGTGATATTTAATCAAATACTTGACTCATTTGGTGCTACTAGTGGTAATAATACACAAAATGCATTGCATTGTTGGATGGATATTAACACGGGCTTGGGGTTCCAAGGCAGAATGAACAATGTTTGACATAAAGCATCCTCTCCCTTGGGGATTTCTAAAATTATCTTTTGAGGAAGGAAAAAATTCAAATCTGAATTCTGCTGTTGTAGGATTGAAAATAGACTTGCTCAGTTGTTGAAGGCATAGGGGGTAAATATTGATTCAAAACCCTTTTATCAAACCAGTTTTTGGTACTTTTTTCTTGACATTCGGTACCAACTCTTTTGCGATTAATTCTAAAAATGCATCAAATTTGATTCTTTTGCTCAGTTTTTTTTTTTTTTTACTTTGTTCCTTGTGATGCAAGTGCATTGCTTTAATGAGCCTCTGTTCTTTATCTCAATTTTCACAATGTCTTAAGTTCAAGTTTTTTAAACAAGGCATAATCATGTCTTGCTTATCTGTTACAAAACTTGGTTTCATTAAAAAAAAATCCCTCTTTGTCTTTATTTTGACAGTATTTTAAGAAGATTCCTTTGGATAAAAAAGTATTTTACTATGGATTTAATTGGTTCTGTCATTGCCATGTGAGACTATGTAGCATGGATGGGGTACGGGGGGGGGGGGGATAGTTCTTATACAGCTGCAAGCCATGAGAAGTTTAACCTGCTATCGTATTCACCATTGCTTTCAGTCAAGTATATGAGTTTTTGTATCTTGGTGTGTTTGTGTATGTGTGCATGTGCAAGTGTATGTATATAAATAAATATATATATATATAGACATTGGTGCTAAGTCTGTCCACAGAGATTTCATATGTACAGCTGATTCTTGAACTTAACTGCCTTTATCATCTAAGGTTTTAATATTTACATGTTATTTAATTTTACATTGTGAACCTTGTGTGCCAGTCTGTTTGTTGCAAGAGCATCGGACAAGGGTGCTGGAAAATTGTGTGCTATATAGCTATATATATATAAGTATATGATAGTTAAAAGATACAGTTCAAACTGCTAGTGCTTTCAACAGTTGACAAAGTACAGAAGGAGTAAGTGTTCTACTATTAGACATAGTAAGTGTAAATGAAATCCATAAGAAATATTGCCAAAATGGAAAAGCAGCAGGTTTTGGTACTTAAAAAAACATTAAGTGGCGTTAGTTTAGATTGTAGACGGTTTTTGATATTTGACATGGCTGACATTATTTGATACTGTAAAATGACACTGATGTAATATGACACTACTTAATGACAAAAAAGCAATTTGACACAACATAATGACACTGACACAACTTGACACTTTTGAATGACAATGACATAATGTGATATTGTTATAAGGAATTGTTTATTATACCTGACATTTTCAATCCTGCTTTTATTATGTGACACTACATTTAATATATGTGTAATAGGGCACTTGTTTCCTTACATGACATACAATGAAGTATGACATTGTGTATCAGTATATGTTATTTATTGCCATTTTATGACATGGTTTACAGCATAAAAGTTGACAAAGGGTGACAGTACATGACATTTGATGACTAGGTGACAGTTGGGGGTTTATGACATTGGTGACGTGACATTAAGAACATGCGACACTGTTGACGTAGTGTCTATGACACGACACTGTGATTGCACACTACTTACGTGACATGACACTACTTACGTGACATGATATCTCGTGACAGTTAAGGATATGTGACATTGTCATTGTGACAAGGGCAGCATATCAAATTCATTGACATTTGACATACTGTGACATGACATGACATGATGAAAGTGATCTTATTCTGAATTAAGTAGCCATATAGTTATATACATGATAACAGCGTATTACTTGTCCGGGTTGCGTTATTTAAACTTAAAAAAGCACTTTTCCACTGCGGTTTATCCTACAATCTGATTGTAACAGTTTTTATACAAGTCAACTGAAAGACGGAAAGCTTTCTGGGGGCTCGATTTTAAAGATCTTTTATTGAAGAAGATTGACGTTTATTTTGAGATTATGCTAATTGCAATTATTTGTCAATAAATATATACAGTATTTCCCGCCGACTTCTGTTGTGTTGAGATGGGTTGTCACGTGAACCCTACAAACTGTGTGTAAGCAAGCACATAGACTTACCTCCTTCTTGGATTATTTGAAAGATGGATATTGAAAAAAAGAAAAACGGAGAACGGCGCGTCTGTCGCCTTATGTAGAATATGTGTAAAAATGTTAAAATACGGTATTCAATGGAAATATTAAAAGCTATCGCAAAACATTCCGTATATTGTATCTTTGCATAATATTAGTATTTTCTTTAAATTGAAGAAATGAAGAGACATTTCCACTGCTGTGCAAAGGCGAGATAAGACAAAAAAACTTTCTACTGTCAAATGTACCCGTATTTGTCTTCCATCCCTGTTAAAAAAAATTGATTTGAATAAAAATTCTAAGAGTACGGTAAATCGGTAGGCAGTGGTGATGAAGAAAATCACCGTGCTCAAGGTGGAACCGCTGTGTTAGTGCCAGTGTAAAAGTATGACGTCTTATCTATTGACCGAGCAATAACATGTTCTGATCGTCCGTTAATCATTAACACCTCTTCAAGTACCACAGACAATCCATGTGCCAGTATCGATATATGAGCAACGTGATCTCATTTAGATTAGGGAATGGAAGTCAAAACACAATGCCAGGTACAGTATTAATATATTTAGCTTTGTGTAGCTATAGACAAGATATATCTTTTAGATTGTATTCTTAATTGGACTCTGGACTCACGTAATGCCAATTAACGGTGCTGATCAAAGGCAGGCTGAAAAACTTACGTTTATAAATAATAATTATCAGTTATAAAAAGGGACTTTGGATCGTTTGGTATTTTACATCAAAAATAATTCGCCATCTCACAATATTAAATCCATTGTTATTTTCCATGTTCATCAGGCATGAGTCCCAGAAAGTGGCTGTTAGTTGTGTGTCCGGCTGTTCTCTTCGCCATTTCATCCAGGCAACATGGTGTTACAGGGCAATCCGTCAGAGGTAGGCCTATATATATATATATATATATATATATATATATATATATATATATATATATATGGCATAACGTAACACAAGAAGGCAACAAGCAGAATGGTATACAAGTAAATCGGTTCTAAAGAGACTGAACGTGTTATTCGGCAGTGAGGCTTGGCGCTTGGACACTGGACCAAGTACCTTGAACACATTCATGACTCGTCAGTGTTACCCTCTATCAGAGTCACAGATTGATTTCACCGAGCAAGCAACATTTTGTATAAATTGAATAATTATCACATCATACATAAGTTAGCACATGCTAATGAATTTTCATATGATTCCAATGAAAGTAGTTAATATTTCAAATTTGGGATATGGCGTATATGGATTGTAAACATTCGCCTTATTATTATTATTTCCCCCGTTATTTTAGCATTTTCATAGTTTTGAAAATTTAAGACCGTCGCTCTTTGTTGTTTTCCTAGCAATCTCCATTGATTTCGTGGAAGTTACAGTGATAGTCAGGTGGACAGGGAATGGCTGGGAAGTGTTTGCGAGGCACAGATTAATCAATAGACATACCTGTGTCAAGACGTCTACAGGGTCTCAACAATTTTTTTAACCGTTTTAATTGGAACTCAGATAATATACAGTAGGGCCTATAACAGTAACAGTCTAACAGTATCTGAACCTTAATTGTTACCATTTTACATGGATTCGTGTCTTTGATTGCCTTGAAATCATTTTCTAAACAAAATGTTGAAGACTTTATGACAAAAATTGCAGGACTTTCTAAAATTCAGTTTTGCCGTGACAAAATCAGACCAATTACAATGGTAACACAATATTTATTTAAAACAGTATTCTGATAGAAATTAAGCTATATGCGTAAGGTATTCCTACAAAAACACCTTTTTTTTTTTTGCAAATTGTATACATGCAACCCTTTGGGGAAAATATGTAGCCTTATAGTATAAAACATCTTACCATAATTTGGACCTGATATTCGCACCACCCTGTAGGACAAGTCAATATTGACTTAATATCTTGTCGCAGTCTGGTATCAAATTTTATGATAGACAGAAGTCCGCTTTCTTCCACGTGTCTATACACGTTCATCGTGTTTGACCCTTAGATCAAGTAACATGGCCCTAGTTTTAGTATCATGGATAAGATATTTCCGCCGATTTTGTGTCTTTGACATCTATTGGCACTTCTGTTTCGTGGTCTTCTTTATAATTCTACACTGCATATTTAAATACGTTTTCTTAGAATCAAGTTGCTAATTTTTTCACTGAATCTCGATTCTATTGAAATTGGCAGCTTTCCAATGAAGCGTTGGATGCACACCTTATTATTTCCACTAGCAATATTAGGCTACTCGTGACTAGTAAAATTAAGTATTTAACAGGAATAATTCTAATTTAAATACATAAATATAATATAATATAATATAATATTAATCAAGATATACAACATAAGTTCTATGTGTTACAAAATATTTGATTTCAGACTGTGTTCCACTGGCTGTCCCTAACTTTACGTCACCAAAGTGTGACTCATGTCGCTGGCACCAGGTGGCGTACGAAGCAGTGACGGGGGAGAGCCTCACATTAAACTGCTCTGTCAATGTCACGGTAGGAAGCTCAGCTGTGAGACGGAGACACGGAAATTTCTCACTTTTGCTTATTTTCTCTTCTTCTCTTTTACTATTTTTTCTCGATTTTTATCATTAAACCATTAGAACAGATAAAAACATAAACAACAATACGAGAACACAAATGCACGCGCACCTAAAAAAATGATTTAATACTGAAATAATCATAATTTTCTACATTATTACATGTATAACATTAATCAAAAATCAATCAAGGATAGTGTCAGGACCTAAATGTCAGGGGTGGTCAACAGCCCACGTGCTGAAACAAAAGCAGAGAGAAAATATTGATTAAAGATCGATAACCATGTTCTGTGTTCTAATCTAAATTGTAATTCTGTTTTTATCAGGGTTTACACTAAAATAAACTGCATAATTATTTGCATAATAAACTGCATAATAATTTGTATGTATATAATCATGATTCGTTAAGATCACCATGCCTTCCTGGCATTTTGGAAGGGAATACCGATATCAGGTAGGCCTACTTTGATTTGAGGGTTTTTACGTTTTTTTTTTAAGTTCTGGATTTGGAACAATTACCTTTGCGGGGTATTTAGACAAAAATGACTTTGGCACATTTTCAAATGCGTACAGAATGCCTTTAATTGAGATTTTTTCATAAATATCTTCTGTTTCAGGGACCGTATTTAAAGATGTGTCTCTCAAGACCCGGGGCGGACCATCCCCCTCCAGTGTGCAGGGAATGCGATTCTTCTATAGGAACGCTGTGCACTGTTAATACAAGCGTTGTTAACATTAACAGCAGTATACAGTGGACATGTGCTGTCTTGATGATGATGGCGCCGCCAGGTTGCACCACTGAACGGGCTAACAAGCTGAATATCACTGTTAAAGGCACGTAAAAAATGAAGACGGGTTCGTTAAAGACACACAAAGAGCGTTAGAATTTTATATAGCAAATATGACAAATATGGAGAGTTCAACACCTTCCCTTCATAATCAAATCATACATAAAACTTTCATGTAATTACGGCCCATTTTTTAGTTCAAAGTATCGATATTTAAATGATTGGTTTTCGTAAAGCCCCTAAAAACTGGTGGATTTCGCGCTAAAATCAGAAATTAAAAAGGTTAAAGGTAGCAACTTTTTTCAAAATTGTTGGATAGGGTACCATGGCGACGAAGGTAATAATTATGAATTTATAATGAAATTTCATTTTTTTTCTTATTGATATATATATATATATATATATATATATATATAAGAAAAAAAAAAGAAATATATATAGCAATAAGAAAAAAATTAAATTTCATGATAATTTCATAATTATTTCATAATATATATATATACAGTATATATATATATTAACGTACACTGTATGCCTTTAACAGTGGTTTAGGTTTAACTGGAGGAAACACATCATGTCAGCGTTGACCTTGGACCTACATTGTTTCCTAAGAGAAAAGAACTATATATACATTTTAATTTAGAATTTACGAAACTTACACAATCGGTGTTTTAAACAAATGCATGAGAAATTATAATATGAAGTCATGCTTGCTTGTAATATTCAAATTTTGACGAGTGAAACGGGCATGTCTCTACATATTTTATAAAGAATTTACTTTTTCCTATATATCGTTAAGCAACGTAAAATGCTTAATATACATTGGGAAGCGACTTTTAGCGAGTTAGCAATAATAATACTTGCAATACTTGTTGAAAGCTATGATGACTTTTAAAAACTGCATAAACAATACTTAACAATAATGATCCTCATATACAGCCCGTACATCGGCGGAGAAAAATGCCATACCTCGGTAATAAATCCTATTGCTTATTATAGACACAAGTCTATATTACATGCAAGAGAAGCCAGTCTGCAACAATCACTTCTATGGAGGCTTGTCTTGCAGAGATTCGAGAATGGATGAAAGTGAACATGTTGGCTTTAAATGATAGTAAGACTGAGTTGATATGGTCAAGGAGTTATAACTCCTTGATATGGTTTACATCAAGGTTCAAGGCCAATAGGAAAAATGCAGCAAAAGCCAACATTTGCATAGGAGATGTTCTTATAAAACCATCTAGTTCTGTAAAAGATCTGGGAGTTACCCTCGATGAAAATGGCACTATGGGGAAGCGTGTATCTGAAGTGTGTAAATCAGCATCTTATGCACTATGGCGCATTGGAAAAATAAGGAAGGTGTTAAATAACCAAACCACTGAAAAATTAGTACATGCATTTATATCATCAAGATTAAATTACTGCAATAGTCTCCTCTTTGGTATATGTGACTATCAGATTAAAAAATTACAAGTTATTCAAAACTCAGCTGCAAGACTGGTCTGTCAAATTAAGTGCAATAGTACACACCATATCATTCTAAAAGGATTACACTGGCTGCCTGTGAAGCAGAGGATTGATTATAAAGTACTTTGTATTATTTTTAAGGCGGTACATACACAAGGACCATTATATTTATCTGATTATATCTGTTTTAACTCACCACGGCGGTCCACACGTTTTAATACTGAGAATGGCCTTATTTTAGAACATTCTATTTTAGAGAAGGGGTGCCTCGCAAGTTATGGAGATCGGGCTTTTATAATCTATGCCCCCAAATTATGCAATGCCTTAACAAATTTTATTAGAAATGCAGACGACTTTGACAGTTTTAAATCCCTTCTTAAAACTCACATTTTTAAATCTGTCTATATCTCTTAGGTTTTTTTAATATATTTTAATAATATTTTTTAGTAGTGTTAATTTTAAATGGTTTCCAAGTGTTTTAGATTTAAATATTGTAGATTTTAATGATTTTAGTTATATTATTCATTATTGTAAGGCGCCTTGAGGTAGCACGTAAGGCGCCATATAAGATTATTATTATTATTATTATTATTATTATTATTATTATTATTATTATATTTCTAGCAAGGGCACCGTTGACCGCAACCGATGGCAACTCACCGCATAATGTCTCGGTACACGTTGGGGACAAGGTGATGTTTAACTGTACTGCGTCTGGATACCCGTCTCCAACCGTATGCTGGAGACATGGCAACCGCACTCTACTCAACTCAACAGCGAAACATATTATATTTCCAAATGGTAAACTATTGTTCATTAATAATCAGTCTATTTCCATATCTAATATGGCAATTACGTCGTTGAGGTTTTTTTTTCTTTTTTTTTTGTTAGAAAGTCATTTTGTGGACGTCTCATATTTTATGAGCGACATCAGAATAGAGGCTTTGCATTGTATATTTGGTATTATCTGAAATAATATCGTTTTTCGTTTCCTCTTTTAAATTCGCCTTGATTTACCCTAGGAACGCTACAGTTAAAAAACGTGAACGCGAGTGATGCAGGGGACTATGTATGCGAGTGGTCAAACAGACTGGAGACTAACACATGGACGGCAAGTCTGACCGTAACGGACAGCTCTAATTCCACCCCACCGCCATCCACAGCGGAGTATATATTCGGAGGTAATTTGGAACGTGTAGGCCTACTACTTAATAATAATAATAATAATAAGTATTTAAATACTTGTATCTAGGAAAAAGTGCTATCCTGTTAGTGTAGATTCAATAATTACGCAAAATATTGCATAAATACATGCTTTTTATTGCCATGAAAGACTGGTCCTTTATTGTTACGACACTTGCTTTTATTCCTTGAAGTCAGCTTAAAATCGTAAACATAATATCAGTTTTAACAGACCGGTATCGAAGATACCAAAATACCACTCTGGTGAGTAGAAAAGAGCTTTGCATCCTTTATATTTCAGGCTCCGTCCTTGGTGTGATGCTGATCGCTTTAGTTGGCTTTATCATATATCGTGTCGCTCATAACAAAACTGTTGGCAACGGCTACACCCAAATAGACGACTCAACGCCACATTATTATCAGCGACAAAGTGAGTAATGACAAATGCCTCAATAATAAACAGGGGTCGGTTAAACATAAGAACTTCATACTGAAAGTTGGTCTTACATTTTGCACTATTTCCGTTCAGGAATAATGCGCACAAGTCCTTTAGAACACAGAAGTTATGAAAAACAAGAATCATTTATTTCTTGATATGACACATGAGATATATTTCATTTAATTGGAATGCAATTGATTCATCTCGGGTCTCAGTAGACTTAAATGTTGCATTTTATATCCGTACAAGAATCTGATGTAAGCTTAAGAGTAGATCCTGCGTAGTTTTGGTGAGATGGTGCAATTAAAATTCTTTTATTACTTCGTAGTTATTATTATTATTTTTTTTTTTGTAAATTAAAATGGACACGTCTACGAAACATTTGCGGTGCTTTTGATAAACAACTCCCATTTACAAGCACAGTATTAAGCAAATATCTTAACGCGGTTAAATTTAACTAAAAGTATTAAAATACTTTTATCCTCCCTGCTAACAGAGCTTACACACTTGCTGCTAACGACCTGTAACTTACCAACAAAGATCAAAACCATAATGGTATTTTAAAATCTCTGTGTATGGTATTTCAGCTCCAACAGTTGCCCCCGGGCAGGCCGTTCAAGAAGGGAGTTCAAATAATAACAATAGCAGCATTCTCCACGACGGCTATCAGGGAAGTTGGAACGACACTGACAATGGCAGCGAGAGAGCTTACCGGTCTATGTCAGCAGACGACCCGCGGGGTGGCATTTTAACACCATCATTCCAAAATGAAGAAGAAGAACCGTGGCTATCATCCTTATATGTGACAAGTTCATCAAGGGTAGAGTCAGATCGATAAACATTTCGTTCCAGTTCAAACTGAGATCTGGACATACGCTAGTATTATCTTTTCAGGTTAGATGGATTATAATTACCAATTCAAGAAGACAAGTCTTGTTCAACTACTGTTCACGTATAGTTCAATCGGTGACATATCTTTCAAATAGGCCTTATTAGGGCTCAGATATAAATGAAAATCACGTCCCTCCTTTTCGAGAATGATGAAAAGCAGCACAACAAATGACATGTTGTGCCACTGTATTCACTGAGATTGTCCACATTTCTCCTGCATTTTCAAAGTGAGACAGACTTCGATTTCCCGGTGCTAGCAAGACTTTCGTTTATTTTCCGCGTTTTCAAAAACCAATACTAGGTTAGTTAATTTATTTCCCGTATCAAATAAGAGAGAACTAAATCATGATAACATAAATACATTTACTCGTACTAAAAGCATTGTTCCAACCATGATATGGCTAGACTAACCATACATCACGAGATTAAAAAAGTTTCTATGCCTGACACAAATGTTGACTTTTTACTTATTTTTGCCGTCTTTACATTTTGTTGCCATTGATGAATTTGCATTTGGACCTGTACAATACCTGTTTTTTTTATTACAAGGACATTGGAGAGTGAATGCTGCAAGGTTTTCTGCCATTTTTGCATTTTCTCCCACGTACCACAGGTAACCTATTTAATAGCAGCGAGTTTAATTTTTGCTTATTTCAAACCAAGACACAGAATATAAAGACATGTTAAAACAGGCAATAAAAAGGTTTACTTTTGTGTGTTATCATTTAGGACTTCTGTATTTTTTAGGTTAATTCCACATTGATGCAATTTATTAAAATTTTACTGACCCACTGTATATTCCAATGTTGTCTGATAATAACTGGAGTTTGAAATAAACTTTGTGTATAAATGCAAGACAGATATTCAACGCAACATATCAAAGCATTTACAATACAACTTACAATGGCACCTGTACATTTAATCTAGACATAAATTGTATCTTATTATCATTTAAAACTACACATTAACAGCCAAATTGCTACATTCTTCAGTGAAATAAAGCATGGTCACCTATACTCAGAGTACCATCTTGTTCTTTTTGCATCAACACCAGCCATGGATCAGATCTAGATCTATCATCATGCATTTGTTTTCAACGTATTATTCTCCACTGCTGTATACTGCCACAGGATGGCTCCATCTGGACCTAGGATATCCCTCCCTACAACTCCCATACATCCCTCGGAGAAAACCACCATTGTTTTCTCACACAGCCACTTTGAAATGGCCCTCTTTTGTTAAAAACAGAGCTGCAAGAAAGGCCCTCATGATAAAGTTCAAGTTGAAACCTTTGGCCACAGCTGGAAGTGACTAACCACAGATATCCCACTGCCTTGTTGACATCCACTTGCGCATATACATCTTCACAGTTATGGCAAGCAGGATGATGTGTCAGGATTTCCAAGGAACAGAAAATAAATCAGGGTCATTTAAGAAATAACACACATCTCGGTTCTGTTCTCCCAATTAAAACAACTTTCTTACTAGAACTTGGTCCTCCCTCACATACTTAACTATGGTCTGTTCTGAATACATTAACAGTAGAACAAGGGATAGATAGCACCCCCCTGCTATGACAGCAACCCATGACAAATCAGCTGTAAAAGATTCTGGATGCATATTACACCAAATAGCACCTAAGACTACATGAACTAGACTGCCGTACATTCAAGCCTCCTTATCCATGTGAAAGACTGCTCCAAACCACCCTCCAAAAATACTAGGAACAATATAAACTGTCATATTTGGGTTGAGTTTCCTTATAGTTTGCGGTGTTGAACCAACTATGTTCCACTTGCTGCTAATTCTGCTGAAAGAAGTCCATGCTGTTGCATTTGTGCTCGTAGAAGAGCGTTTTCTTGTTTCAGTTCACTTATTTGTTGTTGTAAAAGATCGTGGTCCACGGATAACCTTTCTGCATCTTTTAGTGTCTGTGCCATGCGTTCGTTAGCAGTACGCAGATCATTGATGTAGTCGCAGGCTTTGGCCAGGATACCTCCTTTACTTTGCTGGAAAGGACAGGTTTTAACTGTTATAAAGGCATACATTCTCCCAAGGGCAACCTAACATGTTTCTAAATAGCTAAAGCAATTATACAATATTGGTTCAATACATTATACAACATTGGAAGGGGGTGGGGGAGTTTTCCATTATCCAAAGTGGATCATCTTTTGAGTTTGGATGGATAATAAACATGAACAGATATTTTAATGGAAATCCTATGATTTAATAAAGCTGAGTTGTTTGGCTGGCATAATTCAATGAAATATATTGAAATATATCATAGGTTTTTGAAATGCATCACTTGAGATTTCACATGGAAACAGTAAGCATTCTCTAACATTCACTGTGAGCCATAGTTTATGCAAGTGAACACTATGGCAGATAAACCATTTGTGACATCACACCTTTAAGAGAGACGTGATGTCTGAGTGGGTTGTTGTGACATCACACCAGTGAGACAGTTTAACATATTGTGACATCACATCATTCTGTGACATCACTATGATCTCACATCCTGTTCAGAGATACCCTGCTGGCCCTGTTTGGTATACACACCTCACCTACCTGCCCTTGTTTAGTGTGGTCTTGAGCACAGTCTGGTACTAACTTGGACAGGGTCACTATCCAATTGTTGATCTTATCTCTCCGCCGCCTCTCAACTAAAAAACAGATACGCAAGCTTATTTGTGGAAAATTAAATATAACACAGATTTTATTTTACAAATATGTATATGCAAAATAAAAGAACAAGGAATAAAATAATTTATGGGAATAAATAAAACAACATACACAGTTGCCATATTACAGCTAACCTAAATTTTGACATACACCTGGCAATAGAAAGGATGAACATTTTTAAAAGAACCAGAAAACCTGGAAAAAGTTTATCAGTTTTTGGTTTGCAAATACAAAAGAGAAGTTCCAATTGGAATAAGTAACCCACCTTCGTTATGGGTGGCTCTCCGCCTCTCATCTCGCCCTGTCCTGGCCCCCTCCATTTTGGGTGCGAATGCTGTCCTTGGTGCGATTGTCCTTTGTCCCTGCAGCACATCTTGGGGTGACATCATCACGTAGAACTGACCTGATGGATATGTTGATGAAAAAGGAAAAAGGAAACAATGCGCCTTTATTTATCATGCACAGAAAATTGACTTTATTGTGAATGCATTCTACAATTTAACCAGTGGTAGATCTAGGATCTTGAGGGGGAGGAAGGGCAATAGGACAAAAAATTTGCTCTGCTTTTCTCAATAAAGAATGCTACACTGGTGATGGAAAGTGTCACTTGTTATACTATGTGTGTGTGTGTGTGTGTGTGTGTGTGTGTGTGTGTGTATTTGTGTGTGTGTGTGTGTGCACCCAAGTGCATGGTTCGGAGGGGGGGGGGGGGGATACCTCCCATCAAGCCCTAGTTATAAGCCCTGACATAACTATACCAAGACAAGTCTTACATCTAAACAACATTCTACTACAACAAAATGAGTATTTCACCAACCTCCAGCAGTGGTGACCTGCCCCAGAGTGGCGGCCGTGGTGAGCTCTGCCTGTGACGTGTCTCCGGCACCTGACACAGCCGGCAGGTAGGCAAACCGCGTCTCTCCAGGCTGACTCTCTGGGGTAGGGCTGCTGCCATTGCTGAACGGACTCTGGATTACAGCCTGAAAATACACAAAACCCATGTTATTTATGTAAATCACATATCCAATTCTGACTGTATCTGTATAATTAAAGATACACTGATAAGTGAATCTGTCATCATATCACTTAGTTTCTCACATTTGTATGACTCATTTTGACCAATATTCTATCAATTGTCACTCTATGGATTGATATCCAAATAATGGAACAATGTGTACTTTGTGCTTATTTGATTGTGTACTGATGAATGTGCATCTGGAATATATTTAGAATTTAGAATCTAAACCTTTTAACTTTTGTTTCAGTCCATGTATCTAGTCAGGTACAAGAAATCTATAGCCCTTCAGTCCCCTGTTACAGCTTTTAAAATTAACAAATTTATACAACATAAATAGTGTAGTTTTCTTTATATTAACTACACAGTGGGGCTACAAACGCACGCACGCACGCACACACACACACACAGTGAATTAAATAAGATAATGTCTAACAACAACAGAAATCCCAGGTATATTCTTACCTGTGCTACCTGTGTACCAGCAGGGAACCCTCCACTAGTAACAACCTGTGCCGTCTGTCCATCTTCCCCTGTTACCTGCACCACCCTGTATGTCACCTGGCCTGAAAAACAGAACACATTCGCATGGTTAACATGCATGGGAACATTGACTCTTTACAACAGGTTAACTAGGTGATATTCACTGCTCATTGTAATACATTTCATTGAGGTTTGGTTTGTCACCATCTCATGCCTTGGAGAGGATCTGAGACATGGACCTCGTAACTTGAAAGCACTGCGTATTGCGAATAGCGATATCACATAGAGGCTACAATGTATTATATGGGGCGAGTTATGGAATCGAGACGCTTGCACTCGGTCGCAATGCACGATGCTTTCGAGTTACGGGGCCATGGTTTCTCCTACCTTGAGGTCCGTCTGCCCTGAACTGGTACTGGACAGGGTCCAGTGTGATCTGCTGACCAGCACTTCCTATGATAGCTGTCCCCTGGTCTTCACCTGCCTCCCCTGCAATGTGAACAGGTGGGCTAAGTTAAAATGAACATGAATGACTAGTGTATTATAAAATATATAAATAAAAGGCAATTGTGAAGTTATTCTGAACTTAACACAGTGGCAAAATATTTTTAAAATATATCATATTTACTTTTATTGGGTGACTCTAGGATGAAATTACTTATAGGTTATTTTATTTCACATTGCTGAATCACTTGGTCAAATCAGAGTTAATTTTGAACTAAATCAATGAAAATTTTCAGAAAAAAATGTTCTTGAAAAAATTAGCATGTGTTTTTCTTTGGGGTAATTTTTCTACGCCAGCATGAGCCCCAGTTTCAATCAGAATACATTTAAAACAAACACTGTAATTACCCTCTCCTTCCTCTCCCTGAGTAAGGTGGACCTGCACAGCTTCTTCATTAGAATCTTCAGAGGGCTTGTCTTGGGAGCTAAAATGATGAGAAAATCATAACCATAACAATCTTATAACGATACTCCATAACACACTGAACAAACAAGAACTTTCAGCAATCTAGCAGGTATTTATGTAAAATTTTCATGAGTCACCTTTAAGCTAAACTTTAAGTCTGAAAGGCAAACCTTTTAACAATTACCAGGAATGAAATTGAAAAGATAAATCAATAATACAGGATACATTCAAAATGACATACGCTTTTTGACATTATTATTCGTGTAAACAATGGGTAAGGCCTTTTTTTCTTGAGCTGACTTACAATTGGGAAAACAAAGTCTCAGTGCGGTCCAAAGTAAGGCCGTCTTTTATCATATACTTTATCACACGGCGATTAACATTCCTTCAACACATTTGCGTTATTTTGAAAAGTGTTGTGTCATCGTCTTCTTGCTCTTTTCAACACGCAATCTCATGTTTAACGTTTTTATTTGCAGCTTTACTATTGCACTAGAAAAATAGGATGAATACGCGACAAACACGGGGAAAAGAGTAACTTTGGGAAACACGGAGATTCTGGTCCAAAAATAGCTTCAATATATGACAGGTGCTCGACTTTCTCTAATCTCAGCAATGGAACGAATGATTTTCACCTCATACTCAATCATTTCATACGAGCCCTTCTGAAAACCCCGATAACTTTTTTCACTTACCTCGGATCGAGCGAGTGATCTAACATATCCATGTGGTATGAGTGATGTATTCGAATTTGCCAGGAAGTATTGCGAGGTTGATCACGGGGCCAAACAACAGGTCATGTGAGAGAGAAAATGGACATGTGACAAAGATGGCGATTCTAAGGCGCATCACACCAATGCGCAGTAATTTATCTAAACTCATGGACCATATATTTAGCAAATTAACGAATATAACAAAGGATAGGACGGTTGTTTTGTATGTCTTTATTGTGTTTTGAAAGGAAAATAATATTGGAAGAAAAACTTTAAAGTAAGAATGGAAAACTTAATTATGTTTTTTTCAAGCGAATGGATATCATCATTCTCCAAAGGATAAGCATTGGGTGATGTGTCTTGCTCGAGACGCCTCACATTGTCCAATCAGCAGAGAGAAGTAGTATTCGGTAATCTACGTCATATTTACGGAAACACACGATACCGGAAAACGATTACGCATGTACGTTATTTACTTCCGGGAAGTCGTGTGTGTGGATTCTCAACGCCAACATGCTTGATTTATTTACAATTTTTAGCAAAGGAGGAATCGTCCTCTGGTGTTTTCAGAGTACCAGTGAGATATTCACTCCATCGGTCAATGCACTGATTAAAAGTGTTATTTTACAGGTAAGTTGATTTAAGACCTGTGTTTGTAAAATGGTTGTCAACGTGTACTAGCAGAATATACTTTCCATATGCTAAGCTTATCTCTCAATTTGTTCTTACTTCTACAATTTGTTTTACAGTTAAGCAATTTCAAAACCGACATCTCTAATTCAAACATAATTATTGGGACTTCATACCTTCATCCCAAATTCAGCATGCATATGTACACGCATGCACTAACAAATACTATCATACAAACACATCACATGCACGTAAACACAAACACAGTTATACACGCTGTTTGCATACATAAACACGTACGTGCAACCATTCACTCACAAACGCAGGTCCACACATATTAATTTTTTTCCTGATAAAGCAAATTTTTGTTTTAGGAGAGAGGTGGGAATAATGCATTTGACCATGAAGCACTCACACTTAAGTATAAGCTGGACAATGAGTTCGAGTTGGTGTTTGTGGTGAGTCCCTGTGTATTTTTATGTTGTTTGTATTTGCCTGCTCTAAAAATTTTTCCTTGCAAACTTTTCAAAATTCAAGCGATTTTCATTTTGTTTGATAATTAAGGATTTTATCTTATCTTTTAAAATTTTTTTAAGATCCAGAGTGCATTTTAGTTCTATACTTGATTATTGCTATATATGACTTTCATTTAAGCTTTCATATAGAATTTCAATATTTCAACTTTTTATCTTTCATTTTTTAAATTTTTATAATATCCATCTTTAATGATTTATTTTATAGTGTTAAGTTGCGTTTTTTAAATACAAGTAATAAGTATATATGTTGTTAGAATTATTTCTCAACAAGGGACATGTACCTAATTTATAATTTAAGATGTGACACTAGTCTGAGGAATTATAGTCGAATAAAATTGAGTCTATGATGAAAAAAAATTTCAAAAAGCACCATGCTTTCCCTAAAAAACATGTTTGTACTAGTGTATAACATATGACTCACATTTGTTTTCAGGTGGCATATCAAAAGATTTTACAGCTTTCATATGTGGACAAGTTCCTGAATGATATACAGATGGAGTTCCGTGACAAATATAAAGATGACCTGACACAAGGGAATCTGTCGAGAAATTTCAACTTTACGGAAGACTTTAAAACATTGTTGAAGATAGCTGAAGACAATGTGAGGAAGGAAGCTCAAAAGCCGAAGTAAGTTTACTAGAAAAGGTTTTGGCTCGAATCAGTTAGAATATATTCAAGATGGACATTTCTTGTGAAAAGGGCAGTTTCTTTCTTTTAGAATACACTGGTGTCATGTATAGAAATTCACCTTTGGCTCTTTATGAAAAAAAAAAAAAAACAGTGGAGGCATTTTATACTTTGCCATGATTTAATAATAGATAATAAATTGTATATATTTATTTTTTTTTGTGGTGGGGGAGGAAGGATAGTGTTGGAAATTATAATGAATAACTAATAAGTTTAAGGTTATAAAATTTGAAAAGAGTAGACGGCGTTAAACTTAAAACATGACATAGCAGAGGAATATAGAGTGTTGACAGAGAGGAGGGGGAGGGTGTAAATTGATTTACTGGTAGTGGTATTGAATTAGTTAATTAGTGTGGAACTATCATCTTTCAGGGTGATGAAAAGTTTTGAAGAATCCCAGAAATCAAAAAAGACAGTGGCATCTATGATTGAGAACAAGAAGGAAACGCCAAAGTCTGTCAAGGAGCAGAAGAAAAAGGCTGCTGAGGCTATGAAAGGTGAGAGGGCTGAAGTTAGTTACTTACTTACCAGTTTTTAACTCTTATGTTTAATAATAAAGAAGTGAGTTTTTGTCCTCATAATGATGGTTTCTGCTGGTCATTGACTTACTGTGACCTCTCAGTGATCTTTCAGTGACCCTCAGGCAACCAGCAGAAGTCCTTATGTCGAGGGCACAACATTGCCTTAAGTTTGTTAAATTTTTGATAAGTCCAGTATAAGTGTAAAAGGATCATAATTAATCATAAGTGCCTGTATGTGTTACAGTAGCTAAGGCAGCTGAACAGACCACTGTGAGTAATGGTACATTGGATGAAGAGACTATTAGGAAGAACATCGAGAAAAAGTTTGGCCTCAACAAGAAGCCCAAGGCAGAGAAGGCCAAGTAAGTTGTTGAAAGTACTGGGTGTGATACAGCTTCCAAACTTGGTCTAGATTTTGTCAAGCTGTTCCTCTTTCAAGTACTGTGTGATGTGTCTCTTTTTCAGTGTTACTGATTGCTAGGAGGAATGATGACCTTCTGAAGCACAAACATAAATGGAATTTGATGACCTGTTGCTCTTGCAGAATAAAAATCACCTTTCCTTTTTTTTTCAGGACAGAGAGCCCTGATGCCAACAAAAAGAAAGGAAAACAAGCACGAAAGTGGGACAAGGGTGGAACAGCCAAAGAGATGCGTGAGCTTGACTTTAGCGCCGCCAATGGTGACGGTGATAAAGGTAAAGACAGGGACCTGGATGAGACTTTACCCACAGAGGAAGATGTAAGTGCATTTTTCATCTTAAAAAAATATGTTTTCAGATACAGTCTATGGACAATAGGAAAGCAATGAGATTCAAAAGAAGAAAAGGTTGCAGATCTTGATTTGATGATAAAATTTACACTGTATAATGTAACTAAATTTTCTTTATAAATATTGGGTAAGAAAAATCAAATACCTTTTTTTACTCAAACTGCCTTGATATATGTTAACAAGTTTAAATCCGTTTTTGTCTTAATTGCTTTTTGATGATTAAAGAATAAGAATTTAATGTAGATTTTTTATTTTATTAAAAATTCATGGATGGAAATACACAAAGACTTCACAACTTACACATGCACACACTTACAAATTTTGAAACACCTCTAATATGTAAAATATTATATATGCCACTAAACAAAAACATTATCAAAAAGAGCTACACAAAGTTTCCAATTATGACCAAGAGCATTCATTGAAATGTTAAATACAGTGAAGAGCTTTCTTCTCTCTCTAGCTGGCCATGCTTGGTTCAATGAGTGGTAACCTAGGTGACTTGGAAGAGGAATCAAGTGAGGAGGAGGAGGAGTCTGAGGAAGAGGAGGAGGATACCCCTGTCCAACAGAAGAGGTATACAGCATACAGATTACTACATTATGTTGTGATAATAATAATAATAATAATAATAATAATAATAATAATAATGTACTGCTAATATCAGTATACATACATTAGACATTGGTTTTTTGTTATGAGCTCTTTGAATAAACACATGATAGTTGAGAATATGTCTAAGATATCGGTACAATTAATTAAATTTAAGAAAATTTTAATTAATATTGAAATTAAGAATAAAAAATAAAACTTGAAATGGCAAAGTCAGCATCACTAACAGATCGTGATTTCAGCTCTGTAATAACAGCAATCTCAGTTGGTGTACTTAACTATTTTTTTCAGTGCAGGGAAATCCAAAGGTTTTGGCATGTTCAATGTGTTCAAGGGTTTGGTGGGCTCCAAGACTCTGACCAGAGATGATATACAAGATGTCCTGAATAAGATGAGAGATCATCTGATTTGTAAGTACAACTAGTTACAATTACAGAATGATTTTTTTAAAAATATTTTTTTGTTCTAGGTTGCTGTGAGTAACCATTTGTAATTATATGACTTCAGTTAATATTAGAGACTCTCATTATTTGCATGACTTTTTCACTGGGCAAGGTTGAGGGCAAGTCAAATTGTCAGTAAATGTTTTGTGTTTCATTGTACAATGTAGAATGGTTCTCTCACTCTGATACACAGGAAGATTTCTGTTTTATGTTTATTGGTGGCTTCAGTACAGTGTTTTACCCCGTGTCTTGTGGCAAAGTACAGCATATTGTCATTGAATATGGTTACTGTGGACTACAATCAGTGTAGTTCTGTTTCAACATTATGTGATCCAATGGGGATCAAACCGATAATTGGGCATAGATGTCTTCTTTACTTTTATCAGATATTTATCACTTTCACATGCGTATCAGATGTTTATTTAGTACATATTTATTCATGCAGACTTGTTCCTAACCCTTAATTTTTTTACAGCCAAGAATGTTGCTGCTGACATTGCTGCCAAGCTGTGTGATTCTGTGGCCACTAAATTGGAAGGGAAAGTCTTGGGAACATTTAACAGTGAGGGAGATAAATAAATACTAGACTATACAGAAAATGTTCAATATGAAAAAAAATAACAACTGACTTAAACAAACAAACAAACAAACAAACAAACAAATAAATAAATGATGACTGTTAATGATAATGACAATGTAGTTTTTTGCATACATTATATGGTATGCTTAATAATTTTTTAAATATAAATTTTTTTCCAAGTTACTCTGGTGACTAATGCAGTGCAAACATCTCTTATTTAATTTCTCCAGTATAACTGTAGTATGTATACCATTATAGCTGTGGCATCCACTGTGAGAAACACCCTCCAAGAAGCCTGCGTGCAGTTGCTGTCACCCAAGCGCAGAATTGACATCTTGCGTGACGCCATGGAGGCCAAGCAACAAAACCGTCCCTACACCATTGTGTTCTGTGGGGTGAATGGGGTTGGGAAGAGCACCAATCTCGCTAAGGTAAGCCAGGGGCGGATTTAGGCCGTCTTCTGGGTCTTCCCTAAGACAGTCAGATTTTCAAGTTTATGTTGACACATATCTTATTTTTTCTGTCGGAAGACGGTCAAAAATAGGGGATGGATCAACAAAGATAATTTGGAAGAACTGTCAGAAAATATATCTGGATCTGCCCTTGTAAGCTGATATGTGTAAAGACACTTCATGGTCACTTTGCTTGGATGTTTTCTTACAGTCACTTTTATAAGCTTGTGTGAATTGTCACTGAGTGCTTTCATGTAACAACATTTGTAAATTAAAGAAAGTATGCCTGTAATATCCATGTTTAGGGTTGCTTATTTTGAAGTGAGGCCTCTTTCAGAATTTCAGGATGATCTGCATAACAACCAACATATCCTGTATAACATACAATTTCAAAAATGTTAAGTAGTATATGTAAATAAAAACCTTGAATGATATATGAATTTCTTCAGTTGACAGTATAATTTTTTTGTAGGTTAGTTTCTGGCTGGTGGAAAATGGCTTCCGGGTGTTGATTGCTGCATGCGACACGTTCCGTGCAGGCGCAGTAGAACAGCTGCGTACCCATACGCGCAAGCTGAATGCTCTCCACCCTCCCACCAAACACAATGGCATGCAGATGGTCCAGTTATATGAGCAGGGGTATGGGAAGGATGCTGCAGGGATTGCCATGCAGGCCGTGAACTATGGTACGAGACGTGATATGAGACTCCTTGCATATCTAATATCATCTTGTCACAGTTTGTTGGTATTTGTCACATGTACCACAGTTAAATCACATCAATTTTGTTTCATCTGACATGTTTTTATCACATCGAACGCAATCCTGTCTCATCAAACACATTTCAATAAATTTGACACAGTCTCGCCTTATTTAACACATTTTACCACATTTTCCATCATATTCAACACAAGTGCTTCCAGTACTTAAGATATATGATGCTATCTAAATATGTAAAAAAAAACACCAAACAAAATGGAGGCATCACTTAATACTTCAGTTACTTTATTTTTCATAAAAAAATTCACACAGTTGTCTTATTTCAGCTCGTGACTACAAGTTAGATGTTACTCTTATTGACACGGCAGGTAGAATGCAAGACAATGAACCACTGATGAGAGCTTTGGCCAAGGTAAAGATCTATTTCAAATTTGATCAGATCTGTTGTGAATTTTTAAGTTTTTCATTTGATCTGGATATATTTTCTGAAACATCTTAATTTCATACATAAAAGACATGCTTTAGCCTAAAGGAGCATTATGTTTCAGGACCTCAGTTGAGCCTAATATATTGTGAAAAAAACTTTAAAAACTAGATATTTTCTCTGATTAAGCTTGCTCTTCTTGCTCAAATATTTGAAACATTTGAAGATTCATTCTGTTGAAGAATAGAGGTAGACCTAGGGGCAGAGCATTTGCCCAGGGTTTTGACGGTTTTGGGGCATCTTGGCCATCTTGCTTTGATAAATCATTCTTTATACCCACCTGTCAACATACTTTAGCTCATCAAAGTGAACCAGCCAGACCTAGTCCTGTTTGTTGGCGAGGCCCTGGTAGGCAACGAGGCAGTTGACCAGCTGACCAAGTTTAACCAGGCCTTGGCTGACCATTCCCAGATGGAGAATCCTCGCCTCATCGACGGTATTGTGCTGACCAAGTTTGACACCATTGATGATAAGGTTAGATATGTATTACTTTAATAATAATTATTATTTTAACATAATAATAAATAAATAAGAACAACAACAACTATAAATAATGTCATTCAGTGTATAACTTACTTGATGAAATTTTGTGAGTGCGTTTGTGTTGTACACTTAAATGTTTGGAGATGTTTGACTTTGGTTATGACATGTGCCCATTTGGATATATATATATATATAATCAGGTATTTTGATGATTAAGTCGTGTTTTTATCTCCAGGTTGGTGCTGCTGTCTCCATGACCTACATCACTGGTCAGCCCATAGTGTTTGTGGGCACTGGGCAGACATACACTGACCTCAAGAACCTCAATGCCAAGGCCGTGGTCAGTGCCCTTCTGAAGTGATTTGTTTATTAATTATCCACCTACTGGACGAGAACAGAGAGGTGCGAAATGTTGTCCATACAAACTTAAGGATTCTGTTGTTTTTGTTTTGAAAACAAAGCATTTTAGGACTGGAAGTTATCTGAGGATGTTTTTTGATTATCTATATCAGATGCTTTTTTTTAATGAGAGATTTGTTACATGATGAAAAGGTTAGAAGTTGTTGTATTTTCATTGCAAAACTAGATACGGGTGAAGAGCATTGTTGTGTTGTTTTGTTCTAAACTAAACTGAGAAATTTGTGAATTAGTATTATGAAAACAGTATTGGGTGAGATATTAAATGATTTAAGGTTTGATTGAATACTGTGCAGTTTAGGGAATTGGGCTTCTAACTGTGCCGTAGGGGCAAAGAGTTTCACTTGTTCAGCAGAAGGCTCTCTAGTGACAGAGAGAAAAATTTTTGAGCTGCTTTTTAGAGGCAGCAAAAGTGTATTCTTTTGCATGTCTATAAGGTGAAAAGTTTTGGTCTTCTGTCAGAAACACTTCTTGTTCTTTATGGATTTATTTACTTTCTTGTGATATAAAGAGGTCATAAAATGTAGGTCATAAAAGAGGTCCACCTCAACTCCTGGTCACATTGATTTATTACTGGGTGATTGTGGCTTTTAATTCATTTGGAATTTAATCTTTACCACATTGTTATAGATCTAAATCAGTAATTGGTGAGCTTGGTGTTCTCTTTGCTGGTCATAACAGTAGTGCAGGTCAGGATTTTTTGTCTGTACCTTTTGAGAATAATTGGCTTAGGATTTAAGTCAAATATTATATATCTATCATAAGTGGCAGGTTTTAATTCATTTTCTGCCCTTTTTCTTTGCTGTAAAGGTAAAATGTTTAAGTGCAATTATTTAAATTTTATAAAAGCTGACCCTTGATTTTGTGAGATGAGTGTAAATGTGATAAAGGTAAGATTGGGTTGGTTATATGCAAGGTAAATAACAGCAGCTGAAACATTTACAGCTGATATTGGATTTCTATTTCTGAATTGCAAACCTTCTTCCAGTTTGGCAGTATGGTCAAAGTTGGTTGACGTGTGTAAAACAGATGTGCAAAATTTCCAAAATAGCATACAGAATATTCTGTCATCCAAAAGTTTTCTCAATATTTTAATGAATGTTACCTATAGTGACTGTTGGTGGATCCATGTTAGATATGAATAGGATTTCTGCTTGATGCATGTTTGTACTGTTACAGTATAAATCTCATAGTTTGTGACCATTTCCAAAGCATAGCATGAAGCATTTGCTTATGGTGAAGGTTATATATTGAGCTGCTGTATTTGGATATATTTAAAAAAAAAATATCTTTTTTTTTTGTTTTTTGTTTTTTTTGAAATAATCATAGGAAATCCCCTTGTGTTTTTTTCAGGTTGTAAGTAGAATTGGTCTTGGGTGCGGGATAATGTGGTAACACATTGTTGACAAATAATCAGCAAATATTACACTGTTCATATGATACATATCTTAAATTTCAGAGAGAGGGAATATGTATGTTATTGGTTTTTATTAGGACAGTCACTGTAGTTTGTAAGTCGTTTGATGGGGATACACAGAAACCATCTCTCAATAGTTGCAAAGTGAAGTCATTTTGTTAAAACTTCTCATTTAATTAGCTTAACATTTTAAGGTGCATGACAAAGATTGTAGTCATTGTTATTTATTTAGAGAATGGAATATTAGGAGGGGACAGATCTCCCTCAATGTCATTCATGTAAATAATAAAGCAATTTAAACGCAAAGGCGGAATGATTATGGCTGCCAAAATGCTAAATGTAACAGATGAGTTTGTGCATGGGATTTCCATAGTTTATGATCAGTTAACATCCTGGGTCAAGTTTCACCAACACTGATCCATTGGATATATANATTTAAACATCATTATTGGGACTTCATACCTTCATCCCAAATTTAGCATGCATTTGTACACGCATGCACTAACAAATACTATCATACAAACACATCACATGCACGTAAACACAAACACAGTTATACACGCTTACATACATACATGTACATAAACACGTACATGCAACCATTCACTCACAAAAGCAGGTCCACACAAATTAATTTTTTTTCCTGATAGAAAAGAAGTAAGATTTATTGTTCTGTAGTGCCAGCACTGTAACATTGCATAAAGCAAATTTTTGTTTTAGGAGAGAGGTGGGAATAATGCATTTGACCATGAAGCACTCACACTTAAGTATAAGCTGGACAATGAGTTCGAGTTGGTGTTTGTGGTGAGTCCCTGTGTATTTTTATGTTGTTTGTATTTGCCTGCACTAAAAATTTTTCTTTGCAAACTTTTCAAAATTCAAGCAATTTTACTTTTGTTTGATAATTAAAAATTTTATCTTATCCTTTAAGATCCTTTTAAGATCCAGAGTGCATTTTAGTTCTTTACTTGATTATTGCTATATATTACTTTCATTTAAGCTTTCATATAGAATTTCAATATTTCAACTTTTTATCTTTCATTTTTTTATGATATCCTTCTTTATTTATTTATTGTATAGTCTTAAGTTGTGTTTTTAAATACAGGTAATAATATATGTTGTTACAATTATTTCTCAACAAGGGACGTACCTAATTTATAATTTTAGATGTGACATTAGTCTGAGGACTTATAGTCGAATAAATTTTGAGCCTATGATAAAAAAAATTTTCAAAAAGCACAATGCTTTCCCTAAAAAACATGTTTGTACTAGTGTATAACATATGACTCACATTTGTTTTCAGGTGGCATATCAAAAGATTTTACAGCTTTCATATGTGGACAAGTTCCTGAATGATATACAGATGGAGTTCCGTGACAAATATAAAGATGACCTGACACAAGGGAATCTGTCGAGAAATTTCAACTTTACGGAAGACTTTAAAACATTGTTGAAGATAGCCGAAGACAATGTGAGGAAGGAAGCTCAAAAGCCGAAGTAAGTTTACTAGAAAAGGTTTTGGCTCGAATCAGTTAGAATATATTCAAGATGGACATTTCTTGTGAAAAGGGCAATTTCTTTCTTTTAGAATACACTGGTGTCATGTATAGAAATTCACCTTTGGCTCTTTATGAAAAAAAAAAAAAAACAGTGGAGGCATTTTATACTTTGCCATGATTTAATAATAGATAATAAATTGTATATATTTATTTTTTTTGTGGTGGGGGAGGAAGGATAGTGTTGGAAATTATAATGAATAACTAATAAGTTTAAAATTTGAAAAGAGTAGACGGTGTTAAACTTAAAACATGACATAGCAGAGGAATATAGATTGTTGACAGAGAGGAGGGGGAGGGTGTAAATTGATTAACTGTTAGTGGTATTGAATCATTTAATAAGTGTGGAAATATCGCCTTTCAGGGTGATGAAAAGTTTTGAAGAATCCCAGAAATCAAAAAAGACTGTAGCATCTATGATAGAGAACAAGAAGGAAACGCCAAAGTCTGTCAAGGAGCAGAAGAAAAAGGCTGCTGAGGCTGTGAAAGGTGAGAGGACTTAAGTTACTTACCTGTCTTAAAGGTACATATGAACCGAGCATCAGTGGAGCGTAGATTCCCAGTAACACATGTAAACCACTTCTACTAGTTTCTTATATGACTCAAATAAATTCGACATGCCAAGGGAAAAACTGAATAGATCACTCAATCAGCCATAAAAGAGCTTTAGACTGCTCCTTTCTTTAAATTTTTGGTCAGAAATTTAACTTACTTTTGTGACCTAGTCTTCTGCCCCATTGACATACAGCATAGAATGCCAGCAGAAAAATCCATTCAAACATCATTTTCAGGTAAAATTAAACAATGCCTTTTGGTAATTCTCTTAGTTATACTACTTGAAACTATGTGCTGGCATTTGGTCGGTTTTTGTGACAAAAAAATTGACTTTGTATGCATCTTTAAACTTTTATGCTTAATAATAAAGAATCAATTTGTCCTCTTAATGATGATTTCTAATGGTCAGCATGAGCAACAACTTAATGTGACCTCTCACTGACCCCTCAGTGACCCTCAGTTGACTAGCAGAAATCCTTGTGGTGAAGGCACAACATTGCCTTAAGTTTGTTATATTTTTTAAAAGTCCAGCATAAGTGTTATAGGATCATAATTAATCATAAGTGCCTGTATGTGTTACAGTAGCTAAGGCAGCTGAACCAACCACTGTGAGTAATGGTACATTGGATGAAGAGACTATTAGGAAGAACATCGAGAAGAAGTTTGGCCTCAACAAGAAGCCCAAGGCAGAGAAGGCCAAGTAAGTTGTAGAAAGTACTGGGTGTGATATGGCTTCCAAACTTGGTCAAGATTTTGTCAAGCTGTTCCTCTTTTAAGTACTGTGTAATGTGTCTCTTTTGCAGTGTTACTGATTGCTAGGAGGAATGATGACCTGAAGCACAAAGACAAATGGAATTTGATGACCTGTTGCTCTTGTGAAAAAAAAAAACTTTTCCTTTTGTTTTTTAGAACAGAGAGCCCTGATGCCAACAAAAAGAAAGGAAAACAAGCACGGAAGTGGGACAAGGGTGGGACAACCAAAGAGATGCGTGAGCTTGACTTTAGCGCAGCCAATGGTGACGGTGATAAAGATAAAGACAGGGACCTGGATGAGACTTTGCCCACAGAGGAAGATGTAAGTGCATTTTTCATCTTAAAAAATATGTTTTCAGATACAGTCTATGGACAATAGGAAAGCAATGAGATACAAAAGAAGAAAAGGTTGCAGATCTTGATTTGATGATAAAATTTACACTGTATAATGTGACTAAATTTTCTTTATAAATATTGGGTAAGAAAAATCAAATACCTTTCTTTACTCAAACTGCCTTGATATATGTTAACAAGTTTAAATCCGTTTTTGTCTTAATTGCTTTTTGATGATTAAAGAATAAGAATTTAATGTAGATTTTTTATTTTATTAAAAAATCATGGATGGATATACACAAAGACTTCACAACTTACACATGCACACACTTACAAATTTTGAAACACCTCTAATATGTAAAATATTATATATGCCACTAAACAAAAACATTATCAAAAAGAGCTACACAAAGTTTCCAATTATGACCAAGAGCATTCATTCAAATGTTAAATGCAGTGAAGAGCTTTCTTCTCTCTCTCTAGCTGGCCATGCTTGGTTCAATGAGTGGTAACCTAGGTGACCTGGAGGAGGAGTCCAGTGACGAGGAGGAGTCTGAGGAAGAGGAGGAGGAGGATACCCCTGTCCAACAGAAGAGGTACACAGCATACAGATTACTACATTATGTTGTGATAATAATAATAATAATAATAATAATAATAATAATAATAATTATGTACTGCTAATATCAGTATACATACATTAGACATTGGTTTTTGTTATGAGCTCTTTGAATAAACACATGATAGTTGAGAATATGTCTAAGATATTGGTACAATTAATTAAATTCAGTAAGTTATTAATTAATATTGAAATTAAGAATAAAAATTAAAACGTAAAACTGCAATGTCAGCATCACTAACAGCTCTGTAATAACAGCAATCTCAGTTGGTGTACTTACTATTGTTTTCAGTGCAGGGAAATCCAAAGGTTTTGGCATGTTCAATGTGTTCAAGGGTTTGGTGGGCTCCAAGACTCTGACCAGAGATGATATACAAGATGTCCTGAATAAGATGAGAGATCATCTGATTTGTAAGTACAACTAGTTACAATTACAGAATAACTTTAGGTTTTTTTTAAAGATTTTTTTGTTCTAGGTTGCTGTGAGTAACCATTTGTAATTATATGACTTCAGTTAATATTAGAGACTCTCATTATTTGCATGGCTTTTTCACTGGGCAAGGTTGAGGGCAAGTCAGATTGCCATTAAATATTTTATGTGTTTCATTGTACAATGTAGAATGGTTCTCTCACTCTGATACACAGGAAGATTTCTGTTTTATGTTTATTGGTGGCTTCAGTACAGTGAGTATTTTACTCCGTGTCTTATGGCAAAGTACAGCATATTGTCTTTGAATATGGTTACTGTGGACTACAATCAGTGTAGTTCTGTTTACAGTGTATACCTAAAAAAATTTAATTCTTAAATTTGTGCTAAATAAATTCTTTCAAGATGTATAGTTTTCAGTTAAGTCAAAAAATGTCCTCAATGGGAGAGGTGATAATTGCTTTTCAGAACCTTAGAATCTTGCCTGTAATCTGTTTTTCAAAATATTGTTTTCCATTTCTTCTCGTATATTAATGAGTAAGCACAAAACTGTATCTATTACATCTTGCTCTTCACCATTATGTGATCAAATGGAGATCAAACTGAAAATTGGGCATAGATATCTTCTTTACTTTTATCAGATATTTATCACTTTCACATGCGTATCAGGTGTTTATTTAGTACATATTTATTCATGCAGACTTGTTCCTAACCCTTAATTTTTTTACAGCCAAGAATGTTGCTGCTGACATTGCTGCCAAGCTGTGTGATTCTGTGGCCACTAAATTGGAAGGGAAAGTCTTGGGAACATTCAACAGTGAGGGAGATAAATAAATACTATACAGAAAATTTTCAATATGAAAAAAATTATCTACTGACTTAAATAAATAAATAAATGTTGACTGTTAATGGTTATGTAGTTTTTTTGCATTCATTATATGGTATGCTTAATAATTTTAAATATAGATTTTTTTCCAAGTTACTCTGGTGACTGTAATACAGTGCAAACATCTCTTATTTAATTTCCCCAGTATAACTGTAGTATGTATACCATTATAGCTGTGGCATCCACTGTGAGAAACACCCTCCAAGAAGCCTGCGTGCAGTTGCTGTCACCCAAGCGCAGAATTGACATCTTGCGTGACGCCATGGAGGCCAAGCAACAGAACCGTCCCTACACCATAGTGTTCTGTGGGGTGAACGGGGTTGGGAAGAGCACCAATCTCGCTAAGGTAAGCCAGGGGCGGATTTAGGCCGTCTTCTGGGTCTTCCCTAAGACAGTCAGATTTTCAAGTTTATGTTGACACATATCTTATTTTTTCTGTCGGAAGACGGTCAAAAATAGGGGATGGATCAACAAAGATAATTTGGAAGAACTGTCAGAAAATATATCTGGATCCGTCCCTGTAAGCTGATATGTGTAAAGACACTTCATGGTCACTTTGGCTGGATGTTTTCTTACAGTTACTTTTATAAGCTTGTGTGAATTGTCACTGAGTGCTTTCATGTAACAACATTTGTAAATTAAAGAAAGTATGCCTGTAATATCCATGTTTAGGGTTGCTTATTTTGAAGTGAGGCCTCTTTCAGAATTTCAGGATGATCTGCATAACAACCAACATATCCTGTATAACATACAATTTCAAAAATGTTAAGTAGTATATGTAAATAAAAACCTTGAATGATATATGAATTTCTTCAGTTGACAGTATAATTTTTTTGTAGGTTAGTTTCTGGCTGGTGGAAAATGGCTTCCGGGTGTTGATTGCTGCGTGTGACACGTTCCGTGCAGGCGCAGTAGAACAGCTGCGTACCCATACGCGCAAACTGAATGCTCTCCACCCTCCCACCAAACACAATGGCATGCAGATGGTCCAGTTATATGAGCAGGGGTATGGGAAGGATGCTGCAGGGATTGCCATGCAGGCTGTGAACTATGGTACGAGACGTGATATGAGACTCCTTGCATATCTAATATCATCTTGTCACAGTTTGTTGGTATTTGTCACATGTACCAAAGTTAAATCACATCAATTTTGTTTCATCTGACATGTTTTTATCACATCGAACGCAATCCTGTCTCATCAAACACATTTCAATAAATTTGACACAGTCTCGCCTTATTTAACACATTTTACCACATTTTCCATCATATTCAACACAAGTGCTTCCAGTACCTTAGATATATGATGCTATCTAAATATGTAAAAAAAAAAAAAAAAAAAAAAAAAACGAGCAGGCAACAAAATAAAATTGTATATAGCTGAACACCAAACAAAATGGAGGCATCACTTAATACTTCAGTTACTTTATTTTTCATAAAAAAATTCACACAGTTGTCTTATTTCAGCTCGTGACTACAAGTTAGATGTTACTCTTATTGACACGGCAGGTAGAATGCAAGACAATGAACCACTGATGAGAGCTTTGGCCAAGGTAAAGATCTATTTCAAATTTGATCAGATCTGTTGTGAATTTTTAAGTTTTTCATTTGATCTGGATATATTTTCTGAAACATCTTAATTTCATACATAAAAGACATGCTTTAGCCTAAAGGAGCATTATGTTTCAGGACCTCAGTTGAGCCTAATATATTGTGAAAAAACTTTAAAAACTAGATATTTTCTCTGATTAAGCTTGCTCTTCTTGCTCAAATATTTGAAACATTTGAAGATTCATTCTGTTGAAGAATAGAGGTAGACCTAGGGGCAGAGCATTTGCCCAGGGTTTTGACGGTTTTGGGGCATCTTGGCCATCTTGCTTTGATAAATCATTCTTTATACCCACCTGTCAACATACTTTAGCTCATCAAAGTAAACCAGCCAGACCTAGTCCTGTTTGTTGGCGAGGCCCTGGTAGGCAACGAGGCAGTTGACCAGCTGACCAAGTTTAACCAGGCCTTGGCTGACCATTCCCAGATGGAGAATCCTCGCCTCATCGATGGTATTGTGCTGACCAAGTTTGACACCATTGATGATAAGGTAAGATATGTATTACTTTAATAATAATTATTATTTTAACATAATAATAAATAAATAAGAACAACAACAACTATAAATAATGTCATACAGTGTATAACTTACTTGATGAAATTTTGTGAGTGTGTTTGTGTTGTACACTTAAATGTTTGAAGATGTTTGACTTTGGTTATGACATGTGCCCATTAGGATATATATATATATATATATATATATATATAATCAGGTATTTTGATGATTAAGTCGTGTTTTTATCCCCAGGTTGGTGCTGCTGTCTCCATGACCTACATCACTGGTCAGCCCATAGTGTTTGTGGGCACTGGGCAGACATACACTGACCTCAAGAACCTCAATGCCAAGGCTGTGGTCAGTGCCCTTCTGAAGTGATTTGTTTATTAATTATCCACCTGCTGGACGAGAACAGAGAGTTGTGAAATGTTGTCCATACAAACTAAAGGATTCTGTTGTTGTTGTTTTGAAAACAAAGCATTTTAGGACAGAAGTTATCTGAGAATGTTGTTTGATTATCTATATCAGATGCTTTTTTTTAATGAGAGATTTGTTACATGATGAAAAGGTTAGAAGTTGTTGTATTTTCATTGCAAAACTAGATACGGGTGAAGAGCATTGTTGTGTTGTTTTGTTCTAAACTAAACTGAGAAATTTGTGAATAAGTATTATGAAAACAGTATTGGGTGAGATATTAAATGATTTAATGTTTGATTGAATACTGTACAGTTTAGGGATTTGGCATTCAAACTGTGCCGTAGAGGCAAAGAGTTTCACTTGTTCAGCAGAAGGCTCTCCAGTGACAGAGAGAAAAATTTTTGAGCTGCTTTTTAGAGGCAGCAAAAGTGTATTCTTTTGCATGTCTATAAGGTGAAAAGTTTTGGTTTTCTGTCAGAAACACTTCTTGTTCTTTATGGATTTATTTACTTTCTTGTGATATAAAGAGGTCATAAAATGTAGGTCATAAAAGAGGTCCACCTCAACTCCTGGTCACATTGATTTATTACTGGGTGATTGTGGCTTTTAATTCATTTGGAATTTAATCTTTACCACATTGTCATAGATCTATATCAGTAATTGGTGAGCTTGGTGTTCTCTTTGCTGGTCATAACAGTAGTGCAGGTCAGGATTTTTTGTCTGTACCTTTTGAGAATAATTGGCTTAGGATTTAAGTCAAATATTATATATCTATCATAAGTGGCAGGTTTTAATTCATTTTCTGCCCTTTTTCTTTGCTGTAAAGGTAAAATGTTTAAGTGCAATTATTTAAATTTTATAAAAGCTGACCCTTGATTTTGTGAGATGAGTGTAAATGTGATAAAGGTAAGATTGGGTTGATGATATGCAAGGTAAATAACAGCAGCTGAAACATTTACAGCTGATATTGGATTTCTATTTCTGAATTGCAAACCTTCTTCCAGTTTGGCAGTATGGTCAAAGTTGGTTGACGTGTGTAAAACAGATGTGCAAAATTTCCAAAATAGCATACAGAATATTCTGTCATCCAAAAGTTTTCTCAATATTTTAATGAATGTTACTTATAGTGACTGTTGGTGGATCCATGTTAGATATGAATAGGATTTCTGCTTGATGCATGTTTGTACTGTTACAGTATAAATGTCATAGTTTGTGACCATTTCCAAAGCATAGCATGAAGCATTTGCTTATGGTGAAGGTTATATATTGAGCTGCTGTATTTGGATATATTTTTTAAAAAATCTTTTTTTTTTTTTTTTTTTTGAAATAATCATAGGAAATCCCCTTGTGTTTTTTTCAGGTTGTAAGTAGAATTGGTCTTGGGTGCGGGATAATGTGGTAACACATTGTTGACAAATAATCTGAGCAAATATTACACTGTTCATATGATACATATCTTAAATTTCAGAGAGAGGGAATATGTATGTCATTGGTTTTTATTAGGACAGTCACTGTAGTTTGTAAGTCGTTTGATGGGGATACACAGAAACCATCTCTCAATAGTTGCAAAGTGAAGTCATTTTGTTAAAACTTCTCATTTAATTAGCTTAACATTTTAAGGTGCATGACAAAGATTGTAGTCATTGTTATTTATTTAGAGAATGGAATATTAGGAGGGGACAGATCTCCCTCAATGTCATTCATGTAAATAATAAAGCAATTTAAACGTGAAGGCGGAATGATTATGGCTGCCAAAATGCTAAATGTAACAGATGAGTTTGTGCATGGGATTTTCATAGTTTATGATCAGTTAACATCCTGGGTCAAGTTTCACCAACACTGATCCATTGGATAATTATATATATATATATATATATATATATATATATATATAAAGTACTTATCCTCTAGGCAGTTAAGCTGTGGGGTAGAGTAAAGTTTCCAAAACACAAGATACTTCTTTTTGTCTCTGATATTGCTACCCAGTGATAAAATAGCAAATTACTGTTCAGAGGATAACAATCTTGTTCAATGGATATTCTTATTCTGAGGATGGCACTATCCAGTGTTGATGAAACTGGATCCTGTTTTAAAGTCTTAACTAATTGGTGCTGGTTGCTATCCCATGCTTTATATTGTGGTTGAACCTCGATCATTTAGCAAAGTTTATGCTCAGCTGGTATGTATGTGAGATTATTAAATTATTTGGTCTGAACATTCCTGTTGACCCTCAGTGTAAAAATACTTTCTCAAAAACGTTATTTATAATAAAATGATGAAATACAAAGTAAACTTTCAATTCGATAGTTTGTTATTCTTCATTCTTTGGATGTTTTAGAGGCATACAGCATACCCATGGCGATTTATTTTACATTAATTTTATTTTACGTTTATGCACAGTGCATGGATATATTATAAAGTGTATGGAATTCTAAATCTCTCACTGAAGAGCATTTAGACCCTCTGAAAACATGCAGTTAATACATTCCCTTCAGTTATCCAGTTTAGTTGATACATCCAAAACATGTCATTATCTCTTTAGCCATGAAATAAACACCGACAGCCATACAATTTAAAACTCTTCTTTATTCCAGTTCCACATCCAAACTATATACAAATTCTTTATGTTGACGAGAACAAAGGTGGTTTATGAAATAAATAATAGTATTCCGAAGCTTTACAAACACCACTTCTTCACTTTTTTCCACAAGAAATGCTTGCTTATGATTGTTTACTTTAAATGGCTTTAGTTTTGAAACAACATAAAAACAACAGTCCATACATTGATGTGTCCTTACAAGTTGAATCCCATGTCTGAGTAAAAACTGGAAACCAAAAACAATGCATGTGACAAGACTCTGTAACTGTGAGCTTAGCCAGACCGAATTCTTGTGCTCAACTTGCTTCTATGAGATAATATGGTTCACATTTTATTATTTTTTAATCCTTACTGCCAATAACAGCCTTGTTATGTATAATTTGTAGACAGTCTGCTTCTTTAACTCGTAAAGTTGTTTATCTGTCAACTTCTCCAAACACAATATCAAGGGTACCTGCAACAAAATATGTATTGCAATAAACTTTCTGTTCTTGATTCATGGTATTGTTATGTTATACAAATCACAAGTGTGACCACAAAACAAAATACGAGACACATTTGAGTGTGTATGCACATGTGTGGGGATGCATGCATGTTCGTTTTTTTTTCACTTACATTTGCATAAGTATTATTTTTTGTGTTGCCCTGGGAGCAAGTAAGGTATGCCATCTTATATCTCAGACTGTAATTATCTACAAAGAACCCAACCAATCTCTTTACCTATAATGGCCACAACATCAGCTACCATGTGTCCAGAGGCCATGTGATCCAGCCCAGCCTAAAATACAACCAGGCAGAAATATAAGCAGGCAAGCAACAGGGTTTAAACAACTGAATGAAGACATGGTTAGAAAAAAAAATCTGTGTTTTAGAAGATTGGTTTTGTTGATCACTCACTTTTTTTTTTTTTTTGCTGTGGTTCATTTATATGCAACTTTGTGTTGTGATATAGTAGAATTCCAATTTTGTGGACTTAGTAATGGACGTCATAGTCAGGCAAATAATTGAAATAATTATTAATCAGGAGAAATAGCTGTGTGGTTTTAGAGTTCACTGCCGCAGATACATGGAGACTTTAGCAAATAATAGGCATCTGCTACATCTAACAAAACACATACATTAACTTTATAATGAGCAAGTTTATCTCAATGTTTTGTATAACTAAGCAACTACCAATATCCCCATGGATATAATAAATAAACAAACCAATGTTTTTATCAAAATGAGCAAGTTTATCTCAATGTTTTATAAAAAACTAAGCAACAACCTATATCCCCATGGATAGTATAAAAAAATATATAAATAATTAAACTAATGATTTATCACCGTTATTAGATACTTACCAGATGAGCGAAACCTGGGGCTTTAATTTTACACCTGTAAGGTCGACTGCTGCCGTCTGAGACCAGGTACACCCCAAACTCTCCCTGATACATAAAATAACATACATTCTTTATTTACCTGATCATTCTGTTAAATTCTTTGTATTTGAATCAACATTTTGGGCAATTTTAAGAGATGGGAATTACACTAAAAATGTGATGCCTTCACAGACAGGTATTAAAATGAAAGAAAACCCTCTCCTCCATTTCCCCAGTTTTGGATCAATTCGTACAAAAAAAAAAAAAAACAGCAACTTTTTAAACCCTCAATAAAACATACATAGGAGTAAATTTACCTAAAGTAGGAAGAATAGCTTCGTGGATTTACAAATCAAGTTCAACAAAGTATGCATGAATTCCACAAGTTGTGCAGAGAAATATCAATGAAATGTTGGCTGTGTGTATTAAAGTTACCTTTGGTGCCTCGATGGCTGTGTAAGTAGCCCCTGGGGGAACATTGTAACCTTCTGTGAACAGTTTAAAGTGGTGGATCAAAGCTTCCATAGACTCCTGCAAGTATACCAAAATCAGAGCATTTACACTTGCATTAAAGAAATCTCTTCAAGGCACAGTTTCCATGCAAAATGGAGTCATAATACCTAAGAAATAATGAGGTCGTTGCTCTACTAAAAAGGTTTCTGAAACAACTCTTATTTCAGCCAACCATTTGTGTTCACTAAAAATATGGTATTCTCAAATTTTTGTTTTGTTAACACAAGCATATTCAACCCAAAACATATTCTGAAACTATTAATCTTACATGTTATCTTGCCAATGAGGAATGCCACTTTTTTTAAGCAGTNATTTTTGTTTTGTTAACACAAGCATTTTCAACCCAAAACATATTCTGAAACTATTAATCTTACATGTTATCTTGCCAATGAGGAATGCCACTTTTTTTAAGCAGTAAAACATTAACACGTTTTCCCCCAAAAATGAGTATAAACAGAATTCATAAATTTGGATCCCCTACCTTCATCTCTGCTCTAGAGGGTGGGCACACCTTGTGATCATCTACTTTAATCTCCCCTGCTGGCATCTTGTTCAGACACTGGTGAATGATGCGCATGCTCTGACGCATCTCCTCCATACGAATCAAGAATCTAAAATATTACATGAAAATCACTAAGTGAGTAGAATACTAGCTGAAGAAATCATATATGAAGACTAGGTTTAACAATTGAAATAAGAAAGTGTAACTTGTACTTTGAAACCAGATTGTGCTAAAACATGCAAGTCTGAAATCTACAGTTTCTGTTTTTCATAAAATATTGTTCAAACTCACCTGTCGTAGGTGTCTCCATTGACGCCAATAGGGATGTCGAAGTCCATGTCTTCATAGGCATCATAGGGCTGAGTCTTACGTAGGTCCCACTTGATACCAGATCCTCTCAGCATCACCCCACTGAAAATATACCACAGTATGTTTTATCTTCGTCTTCTCTCTCTCTCTCTTTTTTAAGACAGCCACATCCATACACTTTTTTTTTCATTCTACTGAAATCCACAAGGCATACAAATCACCTTTTTTTTCTTCTCTCCC